CTCCGACGAAGGGCTAACGCTCGAAACGTCAGCTTTTATAATCGTAACGGTGGCCAATTTACCATTTCAACTTTGTTGATATATTGAAATTATTTCGTTAACCCCACCGACGCAGCCCCAAACAGTTTCTTTAGAAACTATCAGCCCCTAATCAATGTTGTTTGTCTCATCATATTTGGGTGAGTCTGAGCTTGGATCTTCCCGTTTTGAAACAAGAACCAATGTAAATTCTGAATTACAGGTAGTTCTGTCCTCCTCCCTCTTCCCTTCAGTAAATTGCTCACCATTCCTAATATTGTCACATGTCTTCAAATCTACATCATTCTTCCTCCTTTCCCCATGCACCAATACAAAAATTTGACAGGATGGCTTCGGTGGAATAGCAAAAGGTGTACCATACCCTAATTGTTTTTCCTTAAGTTTTTTTTAACCTTGCACAAAATAATCCATGTAACTCCCATTGCAGGCCTATGTTTACGTAAACATCCGGGCAATCGCCCATGTGCTTAGAAAGGAAAAATCGTCGCGTTCATTTCAAAAAATATTTTGTTGCCGTGTATTGTCATTGTTTGTAAACCCTAAGCTCGAACAGTCGGTGAGTTTTCATTTCAGTTGTTTATGTTGTAATTTTGTTTGTTTTAAGTGTGTTTTCTGTTTGCAGAAAACCTCTCCTTTACTGGTTAGTCCAGTTTTCGACTCAAGCAAATGTTTCTGTGAAATAAACAACAACCCAAGTCAAACTGTCTGAAGGGTCTTGTCCAATTCATGACCATGGGGATTTGTGCCTGTTGGACAAAACATTAGAGAGCCAGAGTAGATGTTCCATATAGTGTGGCAGATGACAACAAAAACTACTTTTAATTACCTTCACTTCTAGCTCCACCATTATAATAGCGATAATCTCTCGAGGCGAAAGGCCCATTGTCTTCCACAGGTCTACGTGAATATCTGGGCTGTGTTTCTTCTTTGGAGGACCATCCCTTGCTATCTATGGGCTTAATCACAGTGCAGAAGACTCCATCTGGTCTTTCTGGTAGATGGCTAGAAGTCAGAGGGATGCCATAAACTGAGCACAGGACATCTGATATGCAGTAGCTTAGAAAAAAAAAATGTTGAAAAAAGGTTGTCAGCTTATCGGTCAGAGAGTCCATATCACCGGCACTAGAAAGCTTGGCCCAGTTTTAATAGCATGAAGCAGCTAAAAGTATTACTACACCTCCCTGGAAAGGAAGCTGGCCTATCATAAGGTTACCCCCCCCCCCTCCACACCATTTTCTTAGTATTTTGTTACCCAATGAGACCACTGGGTNGTATGTATGCACGTAACTATGTATGTATGTATGTATGTACGTGTGTGTGTGTGTGTGTGTGTGTGTGTGTGTGTGTGTATGTATCTATTGCAGTAAATGGCTTGAACCCGGGGGTAACATGTGAAGGTGTAGTCTGATTGTCTGGGTGAGTGTAGTCCTGAGAAGGACTGTTGTTGGTGGTAGTGACTGACGTTTCGACAACCTCTGCGGAAGTCGTCATCAGAGTCAAGTGAATGATTGCTGTCAGTAGAATGTTCTTATTCCAGTTCGTGTAAAATGATCGGTTGGTTTTGCCATGATGTTATTGGCTGTAAGACTCAAGTAAGGTAAGTTGGTCGTGATTGGTCGTGATATGTATGTATGTATGTATGTGTATGTATGTATATATGATGTATGTATGTAACTATGTAAACTATGTAATTATAACAAACTGGTTCAAGACTTCAGAGGTAGTTCACCGTTTTATTACGACAGCTCTGTTTCGTATGGTCGAAAATGACCACACTCATCAGGTAATTTCAACGATTGACCGTTAACTTACAATGGCTGGCTATAACAGCTGGAATACGATTGCTAGTATGTATGTGTGTAACTATGTATGTATGTACAATGTATGTATGTATGTATGTGCGTATGTAACTATGTAGGTATGTATGTATGATGTATGTAAAGAAAAAAGAACTATGTAACTATGTACGTATGTATGTATGTATGTAACTAGGTATGTATGTATGATGTATGTATGTATGCATGCATGCATGTATGTATGTAACTACCGTAATTTCTGGCTGATTACCCGCACTGGCCATTTGTTGCCTACAGCGAAAAAAAAAAAGTCAACAGATTACCCGCTTTGGTGGATAACCTGCACCTTATGTTCAGTGCCGTGTTGACTTATTGAACGAATGTTTAAAGGCCAAAGAAATTCAGACGCATCTACAATTCTGTGTCTATATTAGCATGTATTTTATTGTTAAAATGATATGGTAAAAACACTAACATTTTGTGCAAGCGATCATTCAGCACCATGTTGACTTGTTGATAGAAAGTTTAAAGGCCAAAGAAATTCAGACGCATGTTCAATTCTGTGTCTATATTAGCATGTACTTTATTGTTAAAATGATACGGTAAAGACACTAACATTTTGTGCAAGCAATCATTCAGCACCATGAAATTAGTTGAGTTTCAAACTATTATTTTCAATAATCTATTGATACATGTAGGCTTTCAAACTACTGTCAGTGATTTGTTAAAAAAATTGATATCTCCGGTTCTACTGGGCATAAAAAGTCCCTTAAAACAGGAAAATTCTCTTTAGCTCAAGCTAGTGTTAACTGGAAATTTGATACTGATGCGCCGGATATTCTTGGATTATTTTTGTCACTGTGAAGGTTTTGTTTACACGTGTGCCGATAAAAATTTGTTCACACACAACTAATTATGCGTGAAATAAACTCGAGTCGGCATTATGTTTTCATGCTGGTTTGTGGCACTCTTAATACAATGAAATTAATTTCAGAGGTGGAAACACAGGTAGGTGAGAATTTATTTCAATTCAACAACCAGCAGCTTTTAAAATTGTCACATAACCCGCACCTCTCTATTACCCGCAGTGGCACGTATTTAATGCAAAATCAACACATTACCCATGGGTAATCGGCCGGAAATTATGGTATGTATGTATGTGTGTGTGTGTCTGTGTGTCTGTGTGTGTGTGTGTCTGTGTGTGTGTATGTATGTATGTATGTGTGTATGTATGTATGTATGTATGTAGGTATATATGTATGTGTGTGTGTGTGTCTGTGTGTGTGTCTGTGTGTGTGTGTCTGTGCATGTGTATAACGTGTGTGTGTCTGTGTGTATGTGTGTGCATGTGTATAACGTGTGTGTGCATAACATGTGTGTGTGTGTGTGTGTGTATGTGTGTATGTGTGTATGTGTGTATGTGTGTATGTGTGTGTGTATGTATGTAGGTAGGTAGGTATGTATGTAACAAGAACATGCATACAGGTATTAGGCTGTAAAGGGTTTACAACATTTAAAGAGCATGTCAAAGTTTGTGCTTCTAAGTATAGATCGTTCTTATAAAGTATTTTCTAAGAATGATTTACAAGACTTACCCTGCAATACACAGGAGGAAAAACTGGAGTTTGTTCTTGATTGACAAAGCGTAACAGGTCCAGCCAGATCTTTCGGTAGCTGTCATCTCTCTTTGCCAAACCTTCAACTGGGATCTGATGTGTTCTTTCACCTAAACAGTAAAAGACACAAGGTTGAGGACAAGTAACCCATTTTCATACAACAAATTTGTAGTTTGGGCAGGTACATGTAGGTTTGAAGACCTGGTGTGCCTCATTCTTTTTCCTGAGACGAACAGGAAATTTTGAAGTTCTACAGTCCTGCAAGGGCATTTTCGTGCACTTCCTATTGGTCCATTAAACACAAAAAAAGGCTTGGCAAATGTCCAGCCATCTTCAAGACTTCAAACTTGGTCAATAATGCAAATACATCTGTATATTACCTGGTTCTAAAATGAGGTTGAACTGGGAAAAATTAATTTGTCTCAAGGTGGTTACACCAAATCACAATTATAAAGAATAAAAATGATGTCAACACAGACTGACATTACTTACTTGTACTCATGGCTGTGTACCGAAGGCCTACTCTAATATTTCCTGCAAAAACCAAAATCATCACAATTTGATTTTGCACTCAGAAGAAAAAACGAAATACAAAATGAAAAAATTTAAAGCTGCAGTCAAAGGGTATTATCTCATAACCTACAGAGCAGGTGTCATTTCAGGGTTAACGCTTAATACAAGCTTGCGACCATTTATTCAACAAGCCAATTGTTTTATTCAGAGTTAGAATGGACCATAGGGGGAGGGGAGGGGAGGGAAAAGGCAAGAAGAAATTTCTATAGCTTGACCCCCTCCCTCTCCTTCCTCACCATCCCTCACCCCCTTGATACAAAATTAATGTCTTTCTCTTCCAAGCCTTACACCACCATAAAAATCAAAGATGGCTGCTGTGATTTTGGCTCACCAACATTATGACTGCTTGCCTGGATGATTATATAATGGAAAGCATAACTTATAGCTTAGTTGCATAATCATTAAATTTTTCAGTTAAAGTTTTGATGGAAAGAAGGTAAGAAAGTACAAACCTGGTTTGATAAAATAGTGCATCTTCCGCATTATACCTCCATTTAGTGAATATTCCACTACACCCAACTCACAAGGAAGGAATCCTTCATCAGGAAGATCATACAGGGACATAAACCCAATCATATAAAACTTCTCATCACATATTGCTGAAAGATCAAAAGAAAATCAAGTGAGAGGAAATTTACCCTGATTTGAGGAATGTTACAGGCCAGTTAGGATTAGTATTATGATAATATTGATTAAAGGCTGCAGGTAGTTCAATCATATAGTTCAATTAAAAAAAAATAATTTAAAAGGTGGAAAATGATTACTAAAAGTAGCAATGGAAGACAGAGATGATAATATTCTACTATTCAGGCCTAGATGGTTGTCAGGAAATTGGAAAATAGTGCCTTCAGGAGCTAGTGGCATCACAAATACCAGTAACAGTGAAATGGTATTGTTCACATAGCACTTTGTCCTCTTACCTCGTCCTGGTAACCAACCCCTCTTTACTTCTTCTCTTTCTTCTTTCCTACGTTTTTCATTCAAACTAACAGTATCTACACGTTTCTGTAATTAGAAAAAAAAAAAAAAACAGTCAAATAATTCACAATTGTTTACCAAAGTGGAGGTGAAGAGTGGTGGATATTTACTAAGCTGCAAAGTGATGAGGTAAATATCCACCACTTGTTCACTGACTCTGAGGTGAATAATTGTTTTAAATAGTATATACATTAAAATTTGTTTATTTCTTTCAATATACCACAAAATGGTCACAATTTAAACTCTTGATGTGCAATTTGTCATATGGGCTGCTTGGACATGAATAGTATCTGCCATTCATTTCAGAACTAGCCAATCAGCACACATGAAAAGCACTATATACTAACAATACATACTGTCATGTAAAATGGATGCTAGATCTTGTTACTGGTTTACTATGTTCTGTAAAATAGTCGAACTTGTATTAAGTGGCACAAAATTAAGCTGTTTTAAGCATGCCACATGGTTTCCAAAGTCCTTAATTTTTCTCCCTTAACAACAGACTGTAGTTTTCATCTTCATCAAGTGGTCACCTCAATTATAATAAGTGGTTGTGGTCACCCTGTAACTGAGTCTCATTGGCTGCCCTGTTTGTATTGTTTTCCTCCTGTACTGAACAGTCACTTAAGTGGATCCGGCTCAAGTGAAAATAAGAATCTCTGTAAAATTCAATCCACATTCCTCTTCCGAACTTAATATTTATAGAATTTTTAAGTGAGTTTGTATAAATAAAGTGGTCAATCATGATATAGACTGAGGGTGTTTTTTTTTTACCCTTCTTTATAATACCCCTATTCTGTGGAACCTGTATTAGCAGTCACCCTGCCATTCCCAGAGTGTGACTGCTCAATGTAGGTTCTCCTGTATTGCTCGGATTCTTTTTTTTTCTGGCTACCGTTTTATTATTAACTTTGAAAAAAATCTGAGTTTGAAACCCTGCTAACTGTTTTATGCATTTTTGATTTTGGTGACTCAAAAATGATCTGAAGCTTCTAGCCCTGACCCAACATTACCTCAGAATTGCAGTGAATAACTTACTGATATATACTCTCCTGTGCAGTCCATTTTATCATTTCGGGCAGAGCGATATTTCTTACTAGCTTTGTCTTGCCGAGCCATTTCTTGATAAACCTCTTTCTCATGCTCAGGCAGTTCCTACCAAACAAGAAACAAGAGAAATTATTTTAACCCCCAAACAGTTTTCATTCCAAAGGAATGAGGACTGAAATCCATCAATACTTAAAATATCAGGTGGGCTACAAAAATGAACTAGATAAGTTTAAAAAATAACAATAATTATAATCCATCAAACATTTGATTGGTTCACATACATCATGTTACCAAAATTAATATGCACCAGCTATAACTAGGGAATATCTAGTGTTAAAATCAATCAAATACATTTTCTCATGTGCGATTGGTCTAAATGCATCATGTGATTGAATATACCCCAGATAAAAACTGGGGAATATCCAAGGATGTACCCCAAGTGATATTCTCCAATTGCCTAACCTTACATCAACAGATCATGTTTGTCAGAGGTGCTCTTGGCCAATGTATCAGTCAATGTATCAGTAAATATATGAGTCAAGAGTTAGTTGATACTTGACCTATACATTGGTCGACACTCGGTCAACACTTGGTTGATAGTCAGTTGACGCTCGGTCGATAAATGGTTGAGACTCAGTCGATAGTCTATGGTTGATATCTCGACCAATACATTGACTGGCTATTGACCAGGTCTCAATCGGGTATCAGCCAACTATTGACCACATGTTGACCAACTATCGACCAGGTGTTGATTGGCATATCAGTCAAGGAAGCGAGTCAGTTCGATCGAAGGTTGTTTCGATCGAAACCAAAGGTCAGTTTGATCTAAGACAAGAGTCAGTTAGATCGAAGAGTAAATGATAGTAGTATATGTAGTAGTGATTCAAGGAAAAGAGGCAATGTCTTGCGAGCTTTTTGTGAGCTAATAAAGAATAAAATTTGAAGAACCATGATGCGAACCACCAGCAAATATTTTCCATCATTTTTCCAAATGCGTGTGGAACATAAAGAATGGTCGCGTCTGTTTTCTGTTAAAGCAAATTAAAAGTCGACTCTGAGGAACAAACCGTGCGGTAGAAAAATTACTATCTTTAGCGATATACCACTTTAGTAGTATATCTTTAGCGATATACCAAATATGGAAACAGGCAGCTGGCGGCCATGTTCCTTGACAACCAGGTTCAAGAATGTGTTCTGCACAACACCGAAGTTAACTGTTTCAGGAAATATTTTTAAAGAGGTTTGATAAATAGTAAGTTCAATACACTTAAGCAATAGTTACAGTCTTCGATCGAACTGACTCTTGTCTTCGATCGAATCGACTTTATCGATCGAAACGACTTTCGATCGAAACAACCTTCGATCGAACTCCATTTGGTGTGAGAAAAAGCTTGTATATTTGTCCTTGAAATTTATCAGTTCCTTACTGGAGCTTAACTCTCAGAAAACTGTTCGCATCTCGGAACAGATAATGTCCACAAACAAATAACCAAGCATGTTTTTGCCCCAAACGAAGGTTATGGTTTATACATTCAAACACCTAAAGTTCTATACATTTTAGTCTTTGTTTAATTCAATTCAAGAAAAGAGTGTTTTTCTGTTGCTACAGATAAAGAAAGATAACATTACACAGTATATAACCCACAACAAATGGAATAACGTAGTAATTTTACCAATGTTCGAATTCCTGTCAAATCGAAAATATGGCGATGCAGCAGCAAAATCGTAAAAGATCGTTTCACTTTCTTAAGAAAGCACTCAATGGGCACATAGTTTCAGTCATATATGAATTTGGTTTAAGAAAAATAACAATGAACCTTTAAACCTGTTAACATTCCGATCTGGAATCTTTAAAATGACACCATCGACCAACTCACCTTCCATCGAGGGCCAGCAATTTCCGCTAACGACTGCATGCCATTTTCCAAAACTACCCCCTGCCTTTGTAGCTGGGGCCGCAAAGAAACCATAAAGAAGTAAAATGCGTTCTTCGCCTGATTGCTTTTCTTTTTATTTGGCATGGTTTTCAAGTTATCGTTCACTTGCATATACAGGACAGACTGATTGACTCTGTATCCAGGAATACACGCGCAAGAGTGGTCGACCCTAAATGTTGTGACGGCAAACGTGAACGGTGAAATGATGGAACGGCGAAATGATGGAACGGCGGAATGACAGAGTCGCGGAGCGGCGGAAAATTACCCCAATCCTTTCAGATAGAACGGTGGAAAATTACCCCAAATCCTATAGGACGGAATAGCTGAAAAATATTCCAAATGCTAAGAAACAGAATGGCAGAAAATCACCCCAAATCCTTAAAGACGGAATGGTAGTGCATGTACACACATTTCGTGCAATACTGTATTTTCCTTTGCCGCATGACATCATAGTGGTGTTTTGGTTGTGTAAGTAACTGAATAAGATCTGTGGGGCAAACAATTTCCATCAATAAAAGTCTACCAAAACAAAATTGTGGGGCAGAATTTGTTGCAGGGACACAGTTTTTAGAGACAGTCACTTAAGTATTAGCATTTATTTATCAGAAGAACAGACCCATTTATAAAGCACAAAGCAAGTTACACCAGTCAATATGAAGAATAAAAATTTTATTTATTTTCTTTCTTTTATTGCATGAATACTTATGTCTTGAATTATATTTGTAGCCTCAATTTTCCAAGGCATCATCAACCTACTGATGAAAAATATATTTATTGGCAATTTAATTAAAATTACATGTATGGTAAATACTACTTGCATTAAAATCTTGTTTTCAACATTCTGCAGCAAATTTTACCATTTTAATTACTGAATAATACCAGTGTCATTAGGTAACCAGTTCACTCCCAAGAGCTCATGAGTAATTCCTCTTACTGTCTGTCATTGGTCTCAAGGTTGGTGCACTTGACTCCGGATCGAGTGGTCTGAGTTGGAGCCCCGGCTGGGGACATCGTGTTGTGTTCTTGGGCAAGACAGTTTACTCTCACAGTGCCTCTCTTCACCCAGGAGAATTAAATGAGTACCGGCGAATTTAATTCTGGGGGTAACCCTGCGATGGACTAGCATTCCATCGAGGGGGGGTAGAAATACTCCTAGCTGCTTCATGCTACGGAAACCGGAGTTAAGTGCCCACCCGATGGGCCACATGGCTCGTAAGTAGGCTTACCTACCTAACAAGACCCTAACTGAAATTTTTCCTTAACCTCATCACTCGTTTTCTTGATTTTGTATTGAAAATGTAAGGGAGAAATTCTGTCTCAACCACTCATGGGAGTTTTGGAGTTAATAAAAAAAATTAGCTCAATAAGGTTAGGCCTGATACTCAGACCAAACAAGGATGAGAATAAAACAACCTGTGGCTTTGACAATTCTTGCCAAAATTGAATCCAAGAGTTATTACATTATGATGGCCTTAAAACTATTCATTATTCCTAGTTATTTTAATGTTACTTTGACAAAAATAAATAATTAAACTAATGAACATTTGGGGAGTTGAAAGGCTAATAAATAAATAACTTGATAAAATTGGGCCAACACTCAGACCTAACAAGGACGAGAACAAAACAACCTGTCGCTTTGATAATTCCTGCCAAAACTGAATCCAAGAGTTGTTATATCATGATGGCTTAAAAACTATGTCAAGGCTCGACACTAACTTTTCAACTACTAGCCAAGTGGCTCATGACAAATTAAATGTTATGACAATTTCAATTTGTTTACTAGCCAAACTAGCTGGTGGATATAGAAAACATCACTAGCTAAAACTGAATTTATACTTCTCTGAGGCTAGTTGACTACCATTGGTGTCGAGCCCTGTATGTGTTAGTTATTTTTACCTTACTTTAACAAAAAAAAATATAAAGCTATTGCCAGTAAAGAGAGCTAATGAAAAAAATTATGATTGTTGGCTGCAAGCTTGTAGCTAGTTAGGAATGAGATAATGACAGCCATGTATAATAATCATTACCATCTCTTGTGTCTCTTACACCTTAAAAACATCAGTCTCAGGGTATACCTCCAATTCGTTTGCAACATTTTGTTGGTGGCACACTCCAGTCATAAATGAACGAGTTCATGAGATGAGATTCTTGAAGACAAAGCTTTCCATCCTTTAATTGGCGGTGTTTTTGGTACATATCAGAAACAGACTGTTTATGACTAACAATGTGAAGGTTATTGCAACCTCTTGAACGATATTCAGTGTCGAATCTGTAGTCATGGACTCTATTAACTCGGAGAGGAGCCAGCCATGATCCTGAAATCAAGGTGGATTGCTTAAGGAATAAAAGGAGTAAGTTTCTAAAGAAACTGTGGTGCTGTGTCGGTGGGTGAAACAAGGTAATTTGGTATATCAACTAAGTTGAAATTGTAAATTGGCCACCATAAAGAGTTGAAAAGCTTTTTAACTCTTTATGGTGCACAATTTACAATTTCAACTTAGTTGATATACCAAATTACTTTAGGAATCACCTTGAATGATATATTATCAATAAAAACTCTTCAGTAATAACATCATCATTATTGTCATTTATCCATTTGTGATTTCCCTTAGAATAAATGAAATCATCATTACATCAGCTGGTACTTTGAACATCCAACCGCACATCTCCCCCCAGCTTGTTTATTAGGGAAATTTCTGATTGAGTGTTGCAAGTAGTCTCTGATTGCTGTAGTTTTCATTTCTTTCATTCTGTAATTTGCAGTTATGTACGAGAGTTTTACCAGGCCTACCCCTCACAGTTTTGTGACGTTGAGCAGCACCACCAAATTTGAGCTAGGGCTACCAAATAAGGTGGTGAGCATGTGCGTGTTAAAAAATAACAAGAAGGTTGCGAGAGTGCGAGTTTATGGAAAGTTTTTCCATCGAATTTAGTGAGAGTTTCGTGAATTAGATTGAAGTGGAATAAACCAGGAAATTGCGTTATTGTGAGTTCTATGGGCTGTTTTATTGTTTGGCTCAGTTACAATGATTGGGTCCAGCAACCAAGCAAAACTCTGTTTCATTTGTATAGGAAAAGCTTGTTTAGCAAGCAGCAAGCTAAGATGTACAACTCACACGGGAAATTTCATCTCAGAGAGAGATGGGCCAGGAGGGATACTGCCATTTTATTACACGACTCGAGCAGTCAGAGGGCCAATAACTAAAATCAACCATTCAAAATTCTCTATTGCCGGTCAATATTCTCTCAGTATTGGACTGGGCACTGTCCCGAATGGTCCCAAATGATAACTGCACTTGTGTCCCTTTGAACTTCAGTCGTATAATAAATCTCTTATTAACCAAGCTTGCTCGGGACTGTACTGGAAGAATATCGGCCCTCGGTCTTTTTTGTAGGGACCTCGCTGTGCTCGGTCCGTACTGTCAAGACCTCAGGCCGATATTCTCCTAGTATGGCCCTCCCCCTTGGTTAATAAGATATATGTCTTACTTGAAGTATTCCAATGGGAAAGTTTTTAGACTTATTCTACCCTGATTACAGGTACCTGGATCTCAACTACAGAAAAATATAATCTTGTGAAACTGACTTCCTAGATTAAAACCCAAAGGAAAGAGATGTTAAAAAGGATCTTGGAGGCTGTGCCAGCCTGGGTCCAGTTGTGTGAAGGGTACATAATGCCAACTTACAAACAAATCACTATCCAGTGGACAAGTGTAAACAAAAGATACTTGGCTATCCACCAGATGGTGATTTATTGAGTGAATAGCATTACCCAGCCTTTTAACAACTGGGACCAGGTTATCAATGCACAAATGAAAGGAACCTAATTTAGCTGAAAGTATAGCTTACCGTCCCTTGATCTACTTCACTCACCTACAGATACATCCTCACTGTTATATTTTTGCAAGAGATCTGAGTTCCGAGCAATAAAATTAACCAGATCCCTAGAAAGTATATAACCACCACCTTGTGCATAAGGCAAGTATCTGTCACAGAGATTCCAGTTTTTTTCGGCCCACGGACCTGCAAATTTGACATGTGCATCGCCACGAAAGAAACCCCAGTACAGTCTTTCCATGGAATAGGTGCTCTTGAGCTCATTAAGGATAACATTCAACCGCACAAAACTATCATCATCAACCTTAAGAAGATATGAAAAATTCGCATGCTGATCGATCCATTTGAGTGCCTGCAAAACTTTGCTGGGTAGTTCCTTGTACGCATCTTTAAGCTCAGGAAGGAATATAATATCGTGGTGTCGATTGTTTTCTTCTTCCAAATTCTTCATGTCTTCTAGAGGTAATTCCCTGATTCCAATCACAAATCTTGGAACTACCGATGAATGAAGAGTATCTATATTAGAAAGCCACGTTTTCCGCATAGCATCTCGTCTTTCTTTGCCATTGGGAGCAGTTAAAATCATAATAAATAGAAACGATTCTAATTCCACTGGTATTGCCTGTTCATTTCTTTTGATTTCCTTTCGGGAAAGCGAGTCATCCTTCATATCACAGCCGACTTTCTGGTACAGGAAGAATGCAAATATGAACGCAACAAATAGAAGAAGTAGTAGAAAAGTTTCATTCCTTCGAAAAATTTGTCTTTTTATGAAAGTCGAAATATCCGCCATACTTGAGCCCACAATGCATACATTATTGATCAGCTGTTGGCTGTTGAGATAATTCACGCACGTTACTTGACGTATAAATTTTTGTCGGCAATATCCGAAGGATTGCCGGAGACTCTCCGAAGGTGCCGGAAACTCTGACTTCTGCAGATCGAAACATGCACATGGCCCCGATGGCTCGAGGAATGAAGACGCGAAGAAATCGACGATCAACGTGCAGATGAGATAAGCTCGGTCTTCTTTCCCCGTCGTTGTATTTTTCTGTCATAGAGATTATTTGAATCGAGGATGTCACAGCTACCTTTACCAAATTTTGGAAACTTTCGACCGGCTTTCAACACTGGTGGAAATCCAGGTTGGCCAATGCAAACTGCACCGTCGATTTTTGGAAGACCACACAGCTCTTCGATGAGTTTTTCACCCTTACTACCTATTCACTCTTTTCCTGGCTACCCTGGATGTCACATCATGCCTGGATTACAGCCAAATATACACATGTTACGACCTCCCTTCAACCACGTGGTATCCCAGGAAAGGAACCCATCGTTACAACAACAAAGATCACTGGCTACCAATGTCCAAGTAATTTGCGTTGTTAGATCGATAATCGATACAAGATTTTTTGTTCTGACTTGTTCATCTGTGAGAATTAGTCATTTTAAACTAAGAAAGCTCATGAAATATCAGATCTTTTGATTTGCGTTATGGAGGGTAAGGGGCTGGTATACCTGTGTGATATAAACATTTGCTTTGCAAATTAGCTATTAATTAAGGATATTACAACATTTCTGTGAGGTATCTGGTCAATTCGCCTCCACTAAACTCGCCACCACTGAGAGTCAAATCACGGCATGTATGCAAAAAGCCTACTTATATTTTTGTAAAATATGTTAATGATTAATGATATCCTATTCTCTGTTTTATGAAGGGATCAGCAAGCAAAACAACAGAAATTAGGGAAAATGTCTCCTTGAGGAAAGAGTTCAGTTGTGATGCTTGTCAGAAAGATTTTTCAAGTAAGGAAACTCTGACTGCACATTTAGGATCCCACATTCAGGTATAACATAGGGAGGTTGCAAAGGTTTATTATTTGATTTATTTGTTTGCAAATACAGAGAAGATTCAGGAAATAGGGCCTATGTTTTATCATCTCTATCTGAGAAGACTAGAATGTCTAACTATAAGCAGATGTCATATAAAAGACAGCACGTTCTCTTTGGTTATATTAAGACCGAGTATTGTTCTGGTCTGGCACTTGAACCATCAACCTCTCGCAGGGCACTCCTGTGCTCTATACCATAAGCTAAACTAATATAAACAATATTAAACTACATCTTGCTGATAGACCCAGTTTTGCCAGACTTCCCCATACTAAAATTACAGGATCACTAGGGACAGAGCTTTTTGAAAACTGTCCTGTAATCCTGTATGGAACTAGCTCAAACTTGATTTTTTTTTTTTTTTAAATGCTGACCTGGAAGTGAAGTGTGGACAGCTGCAAATGTAGCATTGTTGATCAATGTCTCAAATGTTGCTTTTACCACCATGCCAGGTTATCAGCCCGCATCTTAGGGACCTGAGACAGAGTTTTGTTGTCAGTATAATGGGCATCAGCTAGTGAAGACTGTGAAATGTTTAAAAATCATGCGACAATGATTTGGTTGATGATAATGACATAGAAAGAATCCCTTTATCTATATTTTGAGGTACAGTTTTGGAAAGTTCTCAAATTTATATGGCTGGAGTTAAGTGATATTGGGAAATGGGGTCATAAAAAAATTAAGTGTAGGGATCTCCCTAGGAAGGTTACTAAACGTTATTTGACACATTTGATTTTTCTGCTCATGATAACATTGAATTAATACAAATGTTATTGATTTTGACTATTAATATATTCATGTATTTTTTTAACAGTGTAGTTATGAGGGGTGCACATTCAAGGCTGGAAGGAAAGTCTTGAAACTTCACTGGATACAGGTCACTTGTATTTACTTATTTATTACTAATACTTATTTATTACTAATACCTGCCAAGACTAGCTAATGCTATATGCAGGTTGTGTAAATTTGCTTTTAATGTTCTCTGAAATAATAATAATAATAATAATAATAATAATAATGATAGTAATAATAATAATAAACAGTCAAATAAACAGTCAACAGTCAAACTTATTGCTCATATTTTATTTTTTGAAAACATATTTATTGTTTAACCCATTAATGGCCGCAGCTTTTGTGGAAAACTGTGTTTTGAAGCTAGTCCAGCAGATTTCGGGTCACTGTTGGGGTTTTAAAAGCTCGAACTTACCAAAAACCACTTGACAGCTCGTGCACTCGACGGCCTTTCGATCCAAATGCAAAATGGCGGCCTGAAAATCTCGGGCACGCGCAGAGAGCAAAATTTCGACATAGTTTTTGGGTTGAAAAGTCACGCCCCACTTACGACTTCTACTTTTCTCTCTTTCTCCTGCCCTTTTTTTCCCCTCTCCTTGCCTAAAGTTTCTCCTCACTTGCTGGAAATTGAGTAGGCTTCATTTTGGTGTAGAGATTTTTCAGAAACTACTCATTATTTTCAAAGCACATGCTCGGAAAGGTAGGTGGGTAGTGAAACACGATCTTCGTGCAGATTTTCCAGTCAAAGTGACACGGTTTTTTGGCTATTTCTCCAATCTCCTCCACTCAATTGCGCTCATTCTGGTATCGTCTGCAAGATATTTTCAACCCGTTCAAGTACATGCTCGAATTCGTGCTCCAGAGTTAAAATTGATGACGTCACAGGGCGTAGAAAGGGTGTGGGTCCCCATGGGCGCATACGGGCGCACTGGACGTTAATGGGTTAATGTAATTTTAACTTAAAAAGTGTCATTACTGCAATATATAAACAATAGCCTCTATTTGGCATGAAAATATGCGTTGATATGGAGCAGGGATGGTGCAGTGGTGAGAGCAGTCACTTCCCACCACTGTGGCCCGGGTTTGATTCCCAGACCTGGCGTCTCATGTGGGTTAAGTTTGTTGTTGGTCCTCTTCCTTGCTCCGAGGGTTTTTGTCTGGGTCCTCCGGTTTTCCTCCCTCCTTAAAAACCAACATTCCAAATTCCAATTCGATCTGGAACAGTGGACAAGAATAGCTACCCAGTGGAGGTCCATTGCTAAATTATTTATTTATTTATTATAGATATTTAGATATTGTCTGTTCCAAGTTGGTAATAGTTTTCCGAGAGTAAAGCTTGAGAATAACTGTGAGCTTTGAGGAACAGATACTGTAAATATATCTTATTAACCAAGCGCAAGGGCCATACTGGGAGAATATCGGCCCCGAGGTCTTGACAGTAAGGACCGAGTGCAGCGAGGTCCGTACAAAAAAGGCTGAGGGCCGATATTCTTCCAGTACGGTCCCAAGAAAGCTTGGTTAATAAGAGATTTATTACAAGACTGAAGTTCAAAGGGACACAAGGGCGGTATCATTTGGAACCATTCGGGACAGCGCCCCGTCCAATACTGAGAGAATATTGACCGGCAATAGAGCATATTGATTGGTTGATTTTAGTTATTGGCCCTCTGACTTCCCAAGTGGTGTAATAATTGTGTTTATTATCCTGGGATATTATCCTGGGATATTCCCCAGTTTTAACTTGGGAAAGATTCGGTTGCATGATGCATTTAGTAGAGAAAGGCAACTTTTCACTCCAAGGAGTGTTCAATAACTAATTTCTTCCTTCATTATCATCACATTTGTCAAGCAGACAGATGGTGAGAATAAAAAAAAAACATCATGTAGAGCATATTGTTGGATGAAATACCAGTTTCTCTAAACTAGCATTGAAAGAAATGTTTTGCTGGAGTCAAGGAGATTTGATTGTAAGATCTTGGGAGGAAAAAGGTTGATAAATTAAAAATATATGTATCAATATCAATTGATAACAATTTGTTTTTATAGACTCATGAAACTGGCAGAATGAAGATTAAGTTGGATACTCCTGAGGAAATAGAAAAGTGGAGAGAGGAAAGAAAAAGGTGTTTTTGATAGTATTATTTATGCCCAATTGGAGCAAATTGTTTTAAAGTAATCTAGGATTCCAATTTAGTCAAGGCCTAAAGTGAGGCCCCGAGCAAAGAAAGTGGAGCAAAACCTTTATCATTGGTCAATGATTTTCATTTTATTTTTCAAAATAATCTTTGCAAGTCTAAGTTAGTCTTTGAGGATTTAAAGACAAAATTTTATTCATGGATGTCAGGGAAAGGCTTCAAGGTTTGCTTGAAGATCAATCAGTTAGAGTTTTTTTTATAATACAATGTATCTTTGCAGCCTATATTGTGGCTACCCTGAAGGCTGACTGCAGAGTCCCCCATGCTGTTTTAGTTGCCTGAAATAATGTTTGAGATTTTTTTTGTTAACATTTATATTGATTTTTTTTCTGAGAATACTGATTTTTTTCTATAAATTTTGTATTATTTTTGTCAAAAAACAATTTTTGATTTTTATTTTTCTTGTACATCTGATAAAGGAAGTATCCCACCCTGGCCAATGTACAGAAAAAAATGGAAGAAGATGCAAAGAGGAAAGCCTCTGGGCAAGTTTTAAAAACCAAGAATTTTAGGTAAGCTTAAGAATTCATGTGTCCAGGAGACCCTTTCCGTATGTATCCAGATGGAACTTTTGAGCATTACTGTCCAAATTTCAGTCTGGGTCCATTTGTAGAAACGGAGGATAACTCCATCCAACAGATTTGTTGCTATCCAGTGGATTAGTGATCAGACATACTGTGCTATCTACTGGATAGTGTTATCCAAGCTTCAAACAACTGGGGGCCTGGGGCCTGGTGAAAGGACTGGGTTTGAATAGGAGAATGTGACACGTTTATTGAGATCAATTCAATGGAAAAGGAGAGATCTAATTCACTTAGCTAGCCCATCCTTTTAAGTAAACAGACTGACATTTTTGTAAAGTAAGAGTGGCAAGTGAGAGATTTGGAAACTGAATCTGCACAGTAGTTAGGCTGATTAATATGTAAAGAGATTCTTATAATTTTTTTTAAGTTTTGATGGCAAAATTGTGAGGGTACTGAACTCTAGATCAAAAGGGTCTGGGCCCAAGCCCCAAGTGTAGGTTTAAGGAAAAATACTTCACTCTCATAGTGACTTTCTCTCTCTCTCTACCCAGGTAAAAAAAAAGGGGGGTCATAGGGAATTGTCATAAAAAAACTCCTAGAATACTGCAGGAGAAGAATTGTGGGGATTTGTTGCAAAGGGGTAACTTATGCTAGACCAGATGCACATCCAGAAGGAGCTCTACAATCTTATCTGCAGAATTAAGCTATTAAAGGTTTGTGTTTAAAATTTCAAGATACCGCAGAGGCCAGGGTAGAGGTAGATCATTTCAGCAAGGTGGTCGGAACCATTTTAACAACAGATGTCATCCAAAGAGGTTCCCACAGGAACCAAATGAGCTAGACCACACAGCTGGTGGTGACCAAGGAAAAAAGCAATTCAGAGATGTGAACCAGGAGAAGGAAGTACAACCTTCTGATAGACAATGCAATGTTGAAGATCCACTTTCACTGGTTCTTGATGATTGTGTGGTAAATGGGCAAGGTGAGTTCTACTTTTAATCAGGAGGTAAACTATGAATCATTCCAGACACCAATATTGACTGCAAATTACCTTCTTTTTTTCTTGGAAAGAGGATCACAGAAAAACTTGGCTCACGATCTCTACTCATGCTTGGTCAGTAATGTACATAGTTGCCCCCACAAGGGTGCAAGATAAAGTGAGTCAAGTGTTATGATTGGTTATTGACCAAATTGGGCCTGCTTTGCCCACCTGGGAATGCCTACTTATTTGCCGCAGAGCCTTAACTCCTTCCTTCCTATTTTCCCCTAAATTCCTGCAAACTTCAACATTAAATCAGTTGATAAGAATGCAAAATAAAACAAATTACAGTATACATTGTATTGCATTTAGCCATTTTGACATGCATGGCCAAGACATATACTTTTTCCTGCAGGAAATCAAATGGAGGAGTGTGCATCTCAAGAAAGATTGTTGAAAGAAACCCCAGCTAAATCTGACCCAGCTTCTTGTAGTGGAACATCTGGGATATCAGCTCTAAGTTCACTCTGCACAATGTATGCCAGTGATTCAGAAGAAGACAAACCATCAGGTATCATTTGGAGTTTCCCTGTACCACTGTTCGCCCTTCCACTCCCAAGATCTCTTTGGAAATTCTCCTTACTGTCTGCCATATGGGTGTAATTCTCATAATTTTAGTTTGGAAAATTTTGTACTGGATCAACTAATAATCACTTAACTGCTATTTGTTCTTGATTCCCATCACTTGTCTGCTTGAGATTGCATTGATATTGTAGGAAGAAATTCTGTCTTGGTCACACATGGGAGTTAATAGGGTCAACAGTAAATGCAAAAATTTGGGCAGTTGAATCAGAATTTCTACAGTCCATTTACCATCTGTAGTTAACTGGTAGGTAGTTATCCTTTTGGTCCTGGACAGGCTATTTTGATCAGCTGTTCAGTGATCTCTTGTAAATTGAAATCTGGTCATAATGATAGGATGGCATGGGGTGGTTAGTTTGATATTATTATACATTGTATGCATGACTAACTATAAATTGATTGACTGTGTAACTGAAGCTTGGTCAAAAGAATGAGTTTCAGTACCTGGCCATAAACAAAAACTATGATGAATGGTGCAGTTCATTTGTCATTTGATGTTGGGCTTGTAGATTGGCAGCTCCATCTTTCAAGACATTTGTAAGACCATTGATATCTTCTATTTTACAATGCTATTCAAACTCTGAGATTGGTCAGTTTTGTAATCAATAAAGTAAAAGAAAAATTTAATGTTTTTTTTTTATTTTGTCAAACAAAAAGTAATTTTGTAAAGATATTCAAGCCATACATTCTTTTTTTTTTTCCAGTAGAAATAAACAACAACACTGCCAGCCCTCCACAAGCATCAACAACAGAAGAGAAAGGTGCCACCAAATGTACATCTGCTGATAGAAATGTGAAAAAAGATCATTTCACAGGAACAAGACGACGTACCAGAAGATCAGGAAAACCAGTTTCAAAGGTAAGTATTTTAATTACAGACACTATTTGCACAGTTCTTTTAGTAAGCTCAGTGTGGCTTTGATCAACATGGGTGGAGGGGGGGGGGGCATTGCAAAAATATTGAAAGGATAAAAAAAAAAAAAAAACACGTAAGCCTCCATTTTGGACAAAATTTGCTTGTATATAGTATCCAAGGCAAATATCCCAGCATCTTTTTGGACCAAATGGAGGCTATTGTTTATGTGACCTCTCCAACCCACATTTCCTTAGAGTTCTTTTCTGTTTTAAAATGTTTCATCCAGGGAAAGTCTAACTTTGTGGGAGTAAGGAAGTCAACTCTACTGGAAAAGGTGAGATTACAGAAAGATCTGAAGGAAGCAAAAGCTGTTGCTAAATTTACATTACTGCCAACTCATTAAAGTGTTTTATGATCTAATCAGAAGTTATTAACACTATTTTTCTTTATTTTCTCCTCACAGTTGTTGGCACCAGATATTCGTCATGAAAGAAATTTAATTCTCCAGTGTTTGCGATATATTGTAAAAAAAAAATTCTTCATAGTAGGAGATACAAGTGTTTCAGAAAATGTTGTCAATCATTGAAATTTTGATGAGTTTGAAAATCAATTATAACTGGAAAGATACTGGTACATGGTTTTATGGACTGTATTTTTTTGTAAGATTAAAGACATCTTTGATACTAAAATTAATGAATTGGTATGGCATTAACTACCCATTCTACAAAGAAAAATATTACAACTTAAAACAACTTAATTTTAGAATATTTTTGTGCACTGGTTACTGCTTAGTGTAGTTAAAAAAAATCCATCGCTTTGTATGGTGATGCCAATTTCCTTATCAAAAGAAGGAGTGCATGTGATAGATTGCTAGATTTTCCTCCCTCCCAAACAGTCTTGTATTTTCTTATAACATATGTGGAGAAGTTGATTTTTTTGAGTAGTGCTCTCTAATATCACTGTAACAGCTTTGGTGCTTAAGAAAATCTGTACACCATGATGGCAAATGGTTCTACCTTAACTTTACTCCAGACTTGTTTGCCCTCTACTTAAGGAAAGTTCTGAGGAAACAAAGTGTTTTTTACGAGGCCTGAACCAAATTCAGTCTTGTTACTTTTCAATATTTGTTCTGTTATTTGACACTTGCACATAGAATCCTTGTGAAAGCTGTGTCAGAAAGCGCTAAACATACATTTGGACTTGCACCCCTATTGATGTTGTTCTTTACAATCAGTAGTAACTTGCACATGCTTAGAAGCTTGAGAAAGAACAGATTTTCTTTTCACTGTCAAGAACGTTGAATATTAAGCATGTGTCACCGCTTTGAGTAAGCAACTGGAGGACTAGTTATAACTCCTGAATTCTGCTGCCCTTGTTTACCGTAACCCCCTCTGCCAGGGTCAAAATCAGTTCTATACTCATCTCGCACCTGAAAATGAAGGAAAGAGAAATGTTTCTTTCACTGCTTAAACAATAAAACCCTACACATACCATCAGGTTTTAATTAAAAGCCTTCCAAGGGAGTAGGCAGAGAGTAAGGGTTATTATTTCTTGTCTGTTTTTTAGCATTATTTCTTGTCTGTTTTTTTTTTTTCTCACTGTGTCAGTCCCTTTGAATCGTGTGCTTGTAAGATATTAGACAATAGTCCCTTTTACAGTTGTGGGCTTGGTGGCCAAGCCTTTGAACAGGAGTGAGGCCTAGGGTGACCTTGTTATGGTAGAGATGTTGCTGCCTTTCAAATGAAAATTACTTTGTTATCATGCTAACTAGATACAGGTCTCTATCACAACAGGGTCACCCTTAGCCTCACTCCTGTTCAAAGGCTTGGCCACTAAGCCCACAACTGTAAAAAGGGACTATTGTCTAATATCTTACAAGCACACAATTCAAAGGGACTAACACAGTGAGAAAAAAAAAAAAAACCACAAGAAATAATGCTAACCCTTAGTCTCTGCCTACTCCCTAGCCTGCAGTGCCGGCATATTTTGGGTGCACGAGTGCACATTTTCGTATTAGGCCGCCATCTCAGATTTGGTAACTGGGGAGGATTGGGGCGAGGAAATATTTGTTAAGGGAGTAGGTGTTAAGTGGAGAAATGGGCAATGGGGGAGAGGGAGGGGAACGAAAAAATAGTAGTTTTTCCTTCCCCTCCCTCTCCCCTGTTGCCCATTTTTCCACTTAACACCTACTCCCTCAGCAAATATTTCCTCGCCCCAATCCTCCCCAGTTACCAAATCTAAGATGGCGGCCTAATACAAAAATGTGCACTCGTGCGCCCAAAATACGCCGGCACTGCAGGCTACCTACTCCCTTGGAAGGCTTTTAATTAAAACCTGAGAAATGCACAGGTAACATCATATAGACCACTTTCATAAATGGCTGCCAGATTAATATTCTTTTGTTTAAATTTAAATTAGCCCTGCTGGCCTTGTTCTCCAGTACAAAATTCAAAAGATTACATTATCTCAAGCGAGGCCAGTAGGGCTAATTTAAATTTAAACAAAAGAATATTTATACAGCAGCCATTTATGAAAGTGGTCTATGTTTCTGTGTGCATGAACCATGAAGGGCCCCACCTGCCCTCCACTTTTCCCACGTCCATACTGTCGTCCTTCTATGAAACCTGCATCCCAGTCAGTTCGTATAATACGATCATCTAGTCTTGTGCCATTAATGTACCACATTGCATTTTGAGCATCTTCACGTGTGTAATACCTTGTGCAAAGCTAAGGAAGTGAAATCATTTTAACTAATACAAGATAACCCTTGCACAACTACATCTTACTACTCGACAACCTCCCATGCACAGCCATGTGTAAACCCTTAACTTCTAAGAGTGACTATTATCCTATTTATCGTCACAGTATTACTGCTAAATTAAACATTAAGGTGATGAGAATAAAAGAAATGATCACCAACTAAAGAACTTCTTGATTGTCAAACAAATTCTCCTGGTCAGTACCACAGGAAATGTTGACAGAACAGTATTGAAAAATGTATGCAGAAGCTGGCGTGTGAAGGTTTTTTACTAGAATTAACAAATTTTACTTGAGACTGAAATCACTCTGATTTATGAACATTACAAATACAACAAAAGCCAAAAGTTCAGAGGCAAAATTTTTAACTAAAGAATGGTGACAAGTTTCTTTCATAATTTTTTTGATTCAGTGGTAAATTAATGAGCAACAACCTTTCATTGTCGCGTTTTCAGGCGCACGCGGATTTCATGATCATCTATACATATCTATAGCAAGAAAAGGTTGTCACTCCAAGCTTTATGTAAAATTAAAAGGATACTCTACGAAGCAAAATCCACAAGGAGTCTTTTTAAGTTTGTCCAGTCCCATTATAATCCTTTTCAAGTCTCCAGCCCGGGCGAATAACTCATAAATCTGTTCTTCACTTGTGTAAAATGACAGATTCCCGACGTACAGTGTCGAACTGGTTTCTAGCCTATTTTCCAGCTCTCCGCGAGTGCCCTATGATAACAACGAAACAAAGGAGAAACTTCCATTCATTTCCAAGCGCAATATCTGAATCACCTTGGGAAAAGATATCTCTGGAATTATTCTTACCCGAAAATGTTGATCTCGATATGCACTGAGCTCCGCCATTTTGTTTCAGGAAGAACAAAACCCTTTCAGGCATGTCATTTATGATTAACCTTGTGTCCTTACTTGTCCGCTGACCATTCTGATGGAGAACGCTTCCTTGTTTTAACAATGGGGGAGGGGTGGGAGATGCTAGTTGCCAGTTTAAACGATGAATGTTTTTTTCTATTTTCTTGTTACCATTCCTTTTTCAAAGAATAAAATTCTACTTAAAAGTAAATTCAATACGTGGTAGACTGTCAAGCTTTTTAGGTTAGTAGTCTATCCTCGCATCATCACTTTTTTTTCGATAGAATTCACCGCGATTCCTTCCCTGAAAGCAATATTTCGTGGTAAGGTTAAACATATTACACTGATTATATCGAACAGTTCCCGCTGAATGCTCATAGTAGCATCTGGTCGCTGGTGGCGAACTCTAATCATTTGTTTTTCTTTCCTCTTCATAAATTATGCAAAACCTGACCAAAATTCAATCTTGATTTCATTTTAGTAATTATTTGATTCTTTAAGTTGAGTGCTCTCATGGAACAAAATTAAAATGGACAATTTCTTAAAAATTATCAGCAAGAATTATTCCTCTTCTCAGGGAAAAGCCACTTTATTTGGCGGGACTAGTGCAACCAATCGCATGTTTTAGATAACGTCATTTAAATTTAACAGACATGCGTAGTTAAGTATTTTGAAAACCCCAAATTTAAGTTTTCTGCTGGAACTTGGTCTGTCTTTATGGAAATTTATGAGAAACGTACGTTTCCATTAATTTTAACTCGGGATGTGTTCAAGTAGGATTGTAAACAGCTTTTGCATTATAGTTGGAATCGTAATTTCGTTAAAACTATGTTCGTCCGTCGCCGATGTTGACGATGATGATTGCTTATCGCGAGGACGAAACTGCACTTGGTGTCTGAACGATGGAAACTGCGGATTTTGCGACAAATGCGGTGATCATTGCCACAAACCTGGAGCAATCCATTCTTTAGAGAACTGTACAAACTGTGCTTCTTGTATTCCTGGGAATCTTGCGGGTTCAAAGAAGGGTTACGACTGCAGAGCAGAATGGTAAGCTTATCCATCGATTACAAGCTATTTATCCACGATCAAAGTAAACACTTTCTCGCTTCAACAACCGCGCTTTTCCAGTGTTCCACGGTGGACATGAGACTTTCCTGTCATTTAGAATCCCATTTTTACCACTAAGCCACGTTAAGAGTGTTACAGAACATTTTAATAAAGAAAAGGCAATTAATAATGCTACAGTCTTGTCCGACCGTCTGTTTGTACAATGATGGCGTGATTTCACCTCATACGACTTCGATAAATGGATTGGTGTAAAAGATGTTAAAATTATTTTTCTGTTTTAACGCTGTTAATTTTCAGGTAATTATGAAGTTCAATGAACTTAATGCCTGGTTTTGTCTTTATTGGAGAAGTTAAAATCCACTTTAACTCACGTGGTTAATTACTTTTGAGTTGAAATTTTTTTTAATGTTATTCATCAATTTTCTTTCGTTATTTTCTCTTTGCTAATTTCTTCTATTAACCTTTTTTAATTTTCATATTTTAATTGTATGAAGTACTTCCACGCAATGAGATCTTTACATGGGAATACAGTATCTCCTTTACATGGGAATTAAAGATTATTAAAGAAGCTTTGCTTTTCTGGATGGACAAATATAAAAGCTGAGCTTCATATATCTTTGAAATGGGTTCACATTTTTTTCACGAAATCAGCGAACACCTGGCATATCTTCAGCATGGAATTTTGTGAAATGCACCCTTAAATAAAATTAAGATTTTGTCCTATAAACATCCCAAAGGATGAAAATCATCTATATTTGACAAAAAGCACCCTCTCTTGTCGCAGGATCTTTGCTTAAGTTTTGAATTAGACAAAAAATTTTTTAATTATTTTCTTAATTTTAAGATGTTAAGTGTACCAATTTTAAAAATAAGTTTACCTATCTTTATTCTTTATCTATCTCGTCAGGTATTATTATGAGAAATGCCCAGAGGTTGTCAGTGAACAGAAGACTGTGTACGTTGAGATAGCTCTTTATCTTATAAATCTCCACTCAGTGGATTTAAAGGCTGGAACCTTTCATGCTGATTTCTATCTGTACTTCAAAGGTGTGTGCTACATTTAAAATTCCTATATTGAATTGACAATCTCTCAGGTACTTTAAAAAATTCCCACACACAAGAGTTATCTCAAACTCTAGGTTTTAACTGTTTGCTTATCACCAGCAGATATGATCATACTAAAGAGAAACAAATAGCTTTTTCTTACCCCCCTTCCTTTATGCATGCGTTATCAGGAGCTTCAAAATCACAAAATACAATTATAGCGATATGCAGACAATGATCAAAACAGAAAAAACCAATAAAATTAGTATAACAGTGATAAAGATTTAAACATTAGAAGAAATAATTTAAAAAAAAACAGTAATAACGATGATGATGATGGCAATGGTGGTATATAATTGCCTAATCCTCAGGCCAATACTTGCTTGCTCTGGTTCCTGTCTCTGCCCCTAATTGTCACATTAACTCTTTGACCTCAAAGAGGGGCTGGCATTTAATTCTTCCTTACAAAATTTTACCCAAGAATCTCACATGAAGGTCGTGAGAATAAAAGAAATGATCACCAGTTAAAGAACACTTGATTGTTAAACAAATTCTCCTTTTCAGCACCTTAATAAATGTATAAAGAGCAAAAGGGAGAATATGTATATTGATATTAGGGTAACTATATAAAGGGTCTAAGTACTATCAAAAACAAGATTTTGAACTAAGTAACTAGCTAGAAGGGGATAGAAGGCTGGCCAAATTAAGCAACATTGGACTAACTGAACATTAGAATATTGCCATATTTAAGAAATATAGATGAACTAAATGGGCAACAATTTCTTTTTCTTATAACACAGTACCTGAAGGACAGACAATGTACACAAAACAGAAATGTAAAGATGGTCTTAGAGGAGCCTGCTTTGAGCTTGTAAATGCTGCTGGCCAAGCAGAGGTCAGCAGAACTTATTGCTTATAACTTATCTCTGGGAGAGAGAGATGTTCTATTATGTTAACTCTGGAGTTAGATCAATTATGACATTTTTTGGCACAACTTACTGGAAAATTTTTTCCTCATAAAAAAAAACATTAATACCTCTTATTAACTGAGTTTGAGGTCCATGCCATAGGTTTTTGACCCACTGTTTTCCCCCCTGGATTTATTACCCAGCTAAGTACAAAGCACGCAGGCCATAAATCTGAGCAGAATACAAAAGTGATGGATAAAATGAGGTGAATGGAAAAATGAGAAGATGGATAAAACAAGGTGAATAATGACAAAAAAAAAACTGACTTGCACTTAAAATTATTGCAGGTTTCCAGCCATGAGGGAAAGTATTTCAGGGTGAAATCAGCTTTTAACTTTGCAGCAGATCTTCAGGACTATCCGTAAGTGTGGTAAACTCACTAATTGACAATTTGTGCCCATATTTAGCAATCGTTCCAATACTTTGGAATGAAAGATCTTGAATTAATTTTGTTTTTGTACAGCTATGACAATCAAACACTGAAAATTGTAATACAAGATATGGAAATGACAGCCAAGGAGCTCAGATGGAAAGTTATGCAGGTATACGTATTTTAAAAAATCTGAAGTGTACTGTTAATTCATTTCCATATACTGGGCATGCAGTTAGGCACTGCCTCTTTTTGATAAGTATTCCATTCTCCATTTAATACAACTTGTTCAAGTGAATTTGATACTTCAACTTGTGGTAAAGATAACCCATGGTTACCGTGAAAAATGATTTCAGATCTGAAAGATTTAATAGGAAATCTAGTATATTTCTTTTTGTCTAGAATTTGGTTGATGGATGCTCTTAAAAAATAGAGGAAATTATCCCCAAAAGGCTTTTAAACATAGAAATAAAGAAACCTAGATTAAAATTTTAACATTGGGTTAGTGCTAATTGGTCTTCGAACAACTGGGCCCAGATCAAAGTATTACTAATTACTTTGTTTTATCATGATTGGATTCCATTAACTGAAATGACAGCCGTATAACTCCCAAGAACTGATTTTTAACTCTCCCCTCTAGAAGCTACACATTTCTTTGTTTTGAGAATTTGGTGTAAGATAAGGTAAAAAGTTCTACCTGATAAGTTCAAGTATTCTCATTACCTCTTTGGTGGATAATGGATCGATATTATGGGGAGAAGTTACATCTTAATCCAGTGGCGGATCCCGTAATTTTTGATTGGGGGGGTCCAAACTTTGGTTCAGAAAGGACTGTTGGACTTTTGAGGCAAATTACTTCTTCCCCACACCCCCTCCCACCAGTCGCGGTTGCACGTTATAATTCCTTGGCTGCTTCAGTACCGTTTACTTGGATTCATTAAAAAGATCAGCCAGTTAAAAAGGGATATACGATCCTGTCGATGTAAGAATTTCAGTTTCAAAGTTGCAAGCGTCAGGTCTGTAAGGGGGGGTCTGGACCTCCCGGACCCTCCCCCTGGATCCACCACTGTAATCACTCTTTTAAATTTAAAGGGATAAATTTACTTTGCTCCTGACATGTGACTTCTTAGCTCAGTTGGTGGTGGCTCACCCGACCAGTGAATGGGAGGCTGGTTAAAACCCTGCCATATCCTGAGTTTATCAGGGTGTCTTTTCATCGACAATGTTTCTTAATAAAAGCAGGTCATATGGGGTGAAGATGCACCATCACTGTGCTTCTGGTTGATTTCTTTTTAAAATTACAATATGGTCATCAACAATCAACTTCAGTTTACTTCCTGGTTAAAATTTGTTTGTAGGGATCAGATGACAGTGATTTCAAATTCCAAGGGGGAGTTTCACCAACGTTAAACTATACTGGTTGGTTATTTGATACCAACTCTTGGTCACAGATGGTTTATGAAAGGTACATCACCAGTGAATCAGTACTAATAACTTATTTGGAATTTGGGATTTCAGTGGTTTTTCTTCTCCAATCTTTTTTATTGGCCTGGGAAACATGCACCACCTTCTTCAACCAACCAGATGCAAACCTGTAATAAACCAGAACTTGATTCCAATCAGTGACTGGTTTTACCTACATCTGATTTGATGTGAGGTTGGTGCCAGATGTCTGGACCAATCACAATGCGTATATAGTAAAGCAAAGTGCATTTTCCAAACAGCCAATGAGAACTCAAAGTAAAACAAGGGAACCGCATAAAGCGCGGGAAAACACCGGTGATCAAGTCATGATTGGTGTTAGATGTGTATCTGATTGGCTGAGAGAGTGGTGCAAGTTTTCTGAACCAATCACAGAGAGGAGTGGAGCAAAACCAATGCAATCCCTGATTACTTTCGTCATATAATTGAAAAATTGCTCTACTTTCGATAACCAATTAAAAGAAGCTTTATCAGAGATATTGTACATACCAGTGATTTAGATGAGTTTTGCTATGAAACGATTTTCAGGTACAACCCGTTTTTGGACCAAGGAGTGTCACGCTATGAGTTTTTATTTCACATGAGAAGACACAAGCGTGCAGCGTTTTTCAAGATATTTCTACCTCCTCTTTTTATTGTGCTTGTAGTAAGTATCCATCTGTTGTCTTAATTCACCAGTGCAATGCATGGAGGGATAGCGACGGAAAATCAAGTTCTCGCTGACTTTTCCCGCCCATTTTATTTGGTATCCTATGAGCTATACATAACCCATCATGTAGAGCTAAATGCATTTTACCACATTCCTTTGGTGCAACATCCTAACGTGTCAGTTAGCCCCCGTTACAATTGGTGGTGTCAGTTAGCTCGCATTTAAATTGCGAGCGAGTAGGATGCATTAAAGTGCAAATACTGTCACCGAGGTCTCTTACTTGACTTGGCAAAGTTATTTCCGATTGCGACACGAGAGCTGCTGTTCAGAATGATTAAGGCGTAAAACCTACCATTGAGGTAAGGTGGCATATGAAATGTACTTTCTTCTTCTCTCCTTAGGTCTGTTTTTCATTTTCTATTCCACCAAATGACGCCTCAATGCGGTTGTGGATCGATGGGTAAGTGCATGAAATACATGTGTTTCTGAGACCAACTACATGTCAATTTTTCTTTTAAACGAATAAGTCACAAAGAATAGCTCATTATTGCCTCAATTGATGGATTTTTGATGAAAATACAAAATACAAACGTCTTTCTTACTGGCGAATTTCAATAAGTAATAAAAGTATATTGTGCGCGAAAAAAAATTGAAAATTCGATATGGAAGAGCTGGTTTGTTCTCTGTTTTAATTTGTTTCTTTTTTTCTCTCTTTCTCAAACAATTTCTGTTCCTTTTCGAGAAAAGATTCTGCGGTGTGCGCTCGACTAAACAAGGAAAAGATCACAATTTGAAACTGTTTGCGTTAAATTTTCTTCGTTTAGCGGCGTCTTGAGTACAACTTTTTGTTTCATATTTGTTTTTCTTTAATTGAATTATTTCTTTTTCTTCTTTCCTCATAGTTCGCTTTTGGTGTCTGCCGTTATGTTTCACGCCACTGTCAGCGAACAAACACCCGACACACCGGTAACTTGGCATTTGGAAATTCTAAAATTTTTACAACAGAAATGCTTGCCATTTCGTCCCTTGTTTTAGTGTGTTTTTCCGTATATAAGTTAGCCATATTTAATTTTCGTTTTGCTTCATTGGCAGGAGTTAACTTTGGCTGATCGCTTTATGGTCGGAGTCTACGGATTTATTTTCGCTTCGTTCATTGTTACGATAGTTATGTTGAGACTTCAACGGGAAAACTACTATTACTATGCAGATACATTCTACAGCTACACAGAATGGCTGGTAGGAATTACTTTTGTTTACCTCATTGGAGAGATAGAACTTACTCTCTTATTCATAGGATGGTTAAATCGCAATGATGAAAGCCGATATCCTATCACGTTGTTTGTCACGATATTCCGTAGCAAATCTCGCCGCACACCTTTGACTTTGAAGCTTTGACTTTGGCCCGAAGTAGACCTCGGATTTGACTCAGCTCTGGATCGGATGTGACATGCCCCCGGATTTGATCCGGAGTTTGCTTTTGACTCCAATGCAAGTTAACTCAGACTTTACTTGAGTTTCGGTGAAAGTCTTACTTGGAGTATAGAAAGATGTTTTTCCTCTTGTCACGAGCATGGGACAAAGAAAAAAATCGGAGTCTCCTTGCGGAATCGAACCGCAGACATTCAGGTTCCGTGTTCCGATGCTCTTTCTCTCACTTAAAGTTGACTTGCGTTTTGGACTCGACATGAACTCGGGTTTGGCACGGATTCCACTCGGGTCGGGACTGATGTAACTGAATTCGGATTTGGGGAAAATCGAGTATGATTTAGACTCCAGTTCGGATTTAAATCGAATGATCGGACTTCCGGCTCTTGGAAATGGCTTTATTCGTTCGGTTTAAACAACGAAGGAAAAGTATCAAGCCATTTAACACATTTCCCAACTAATCTGAAACCATTTTTGTTGATTTTTATGTGTTGATTGTTCTTTGCTGCAGGTGTGGTTTACAGCGCCAACGTTCTTCTTCTTTCTCTATTACGTGAATTTATCGCTTGAAAATGTACTGCTTTATGAAGTCCTTGTCGCTGTTCTGTCTCTGATACTCAACAGATTCGTCTCGTGTCTCAAGTAAGAACTTTGTCACTAGTTATGGAACGGAGTTACACAGGGGCGGGTCAGAAATAATATATTGTGGGGGTGGGTTCAAAATTCCTTCTCGATCAACTCCCCTCCTTTCAATCGCAGTTGTACGCGCCCACACACACACGCGCACACACACACACACACGCAAAGACAAATCATCCAGTTGGGTAGTAATAGGCGATACTGTTGTCACATCTTTGTGGTTGAAAATGATGATGGAGGGGTGGGGGTGTTCAGGAGACCCCCCTCTGCATCTGCTTTGGATTGCATATCTTGTGCCTTCATTTCCCCATGCATGTTCACTTAATTAAGTAAGAGTGCTGGTGATTAACAAGGCTCTAATGACACGTGAATGTGTTTTGCTTTTGCAGATCCCGTTTGTTCAGGTTACTGAAGTTTGACACATCATCGGGAACGAATTGCCAAAGTCCGCTGGAAGAAACTTTTAACAGACGAGGCGACGGATACCTCAGACTAACTCAAGACGAGGTAGGAGAGAAAAGTTGATGAAGATGTATGAAAAACATACAGCTCCCTATATTAAGAGAATTATCATTCGTGTTTTTCTCGTTGCCATGTAACGTAGCTCTATTTTCTGCCTTTAAAAGCACACACAACCCACAATTCCTCTATTCGCTCCAACAAAGGGCTAACGCTCGAAACGTCAGCTTTTGTAATCGTTACGATGGCCAATTTACCATTTCAACTTTGTTGATATATCCAAATTATTTCGTTACCCCCACCGACGCAGCCCCAAACAGTTTCTTTAGAAACTATCAGCCTTTATTAAGAGAAATATTGCCGCGCGCAATTATCGCAGAACTAATCAAGGCAAGCTCATTTGTTCTTATCATCACCCAGGAGTCAGAGCTGCCGTCACATTCAGCTGCGTGTAAGCCTTGTTTCCCTGGTAACCGTGACAACACATGTGAGGAGCCCTGCCCAAAACAGCAACCTACGCCCAATAAGAAAGCTTAACACAAAATACTACACCTGAAAGGATGAAGTGAAAACCTCGTCCCTTGGACCGTGACCTAATTGTTTTAATTTGTCATTGGTTCTATCAGCCGATCAGATTTTTAGTACCTCTCTGGGTACGAAGGATTATCAATTGTCAACAGAAATCGCGGTTCTTTCCATAGCGCGTTGATCCGTGATGCTGGCCGATAGCATCGGGGCTTTGGAAACGAATTTTTAAGGATTTACTGCTATTTATGCAGACTGGCATTAGAGCCCATTCCATTCAGTAATGTGATAAGATGAGAGATCTAAAAATTATCTCAAAGTCGGCAACATCAAAACTTGTCAGAGAATCGTTCTAATTTTTTTTCCTGGCGTTACGAAACAGTGTAATGGTGTAATGGGCAAAATGTTCTTCCTGTGTCCTTTAAGGACAATTTACCTTTTTGACAATTTAGAGAAGGAATTTGCAACGGTGTGAAATGGACGTGAAGTTTGAAAAAATTGATATGTTCCTCAGTGCAATCGAAGCACAACGAATGCACATGAGCCAACGGTAAAGTTCTAGATACGAGTCTGGTTACAATCAGTCTACAGTTTTTGTTTGATTTACAATAAACTTTTAAGCTTCCAAGATCTGATGTTTCCTTACAAATTCGTAAAGAGAATCTGGTACAATATCAAGATCGTAACAACCCCTAAGAGAAACGTTTCTCCTTTTCCACTTCCTGTAGGGTTGAATGGTGCTGGTGAGAAGTAATTTCATAGCCAGATCCTACCATAACTGAACTAACCAACCGCTTGGCCGTGAAAGGCCTGGGAAGGAGACTAGGTGAAAAGTTACACCGCCCCTTGCAGGACAATACCTGATAGCTATACCTGATTTGGCTGCCGAAAATCGATGAGGATAATTTAAGCGGGGATGAAATTTCGAATAACACAAGAAAAATAAGTGTGTCTATAAGCTTCGTTCATTCGATTAGAATTGTTAGAGGTAATATTTTGTTTTAATCAGATAAAACTCATAAGTTTACACTTTGTACTCTTCTCCAATCACAGTCTCTTCCTTACCTTAACCAGACAACATGTAGTATGTACAAGACGGCACAATGTTTATACAGACGCGTGAGGTAGGAAGCTACTTTTCATTAAAAATAGGATTAAGAAGAACCTTTAAAAACTTAAGCTTAGCTACTTCTACCATGGACTCTATTTTTATTTGGTGCGACGATAGTTTTGGAATCTTACGGAAACTCGGGAGAACTGGATGACACAATTACTTGAAAACTTCCCAGGAAAATAAACTACGCACCTACCCCTCCCCAAACAGAACATTAATCACCACTTGTTGGGTTAGGGGAGCGGTGGGTGTGCAGTTGCCTTGGGAAAATGGTTCTGGGAAAATTACCTCGACCTCATGTACTCGCCCGAGGTTTCCCGGCTCACATGCAGAGATGTCGATCATAATCAAAGCAAGTTTTCAGAGAAACGTTGCGTGAACAACCAAAGAAAAAATGCCTAACCATCTTGGCACTTCCTACTTCGAAAAGACTTGTTTTTCAGACAGCTAGCGTGTGATGCAGGCAGCTTCTGGGGCGCTAGTTGGGCGAAATTAACCAGCGAACGTTCGGTTGGGTTGTTACCATTATTTGCGGTTTTTAACCTCTCACGGCTTCGCTGCCCGTTTTGACGGCACCGCCGATTGACTTGGCTCGATTTCCGTCGTATTCTCGAGTGCGGTCTTCGATCTTTCCAAGATGGTTTGGGAGAAGCACAGGCTCATTTCACGATCTGTGGCTTGTAGCTGAGCCTTTCGCTTGACACTTCAAATCACATACTAAACTGCCAGCTAAGCAAGTTTAAATGGATGTTCAAAGGAAAGTAAAACTGGTAGACCCGCATGTTAAACAAAGAGATTAAGTCTCTCTTTTTTTATATCAGGAGATATTTCATGGCATTCGGCCATGAAACCATCGCTTGAGAATTGTACAGTTTATCAAAATATACTCAATCTTAAGATGTCCAGGCTTTAGATCAAGTTACTGGCTCTTCTTCTTGGGATTTCGCTTGTTCATCTGTTTTTGAATTATATCCATTACGCGCGGCCTGTGATCTAAAACCTGAGAAATAAGAAGACGAACTTATTAGTCCTCAAGATATAACCAGTAATTCTCCCACCTAGCTTCTGAACATTTCCTTGTAAATAAGTTATGAGAACCTAGTGTTCAATCAAGATAACACTCTCTCGCTGATAAGCTTCTGTATTCTCATCACCTCCCTAGTGCATAATGTTTTGACAAAAAGTTAACAACTTTTCAGATCTTGTCATACGGCGTCTTCTTCCGTGCTAGCCAGACATAAAAAAAAAAAAAACATTTTTTTCTTTCCGAGTGAGCGGCTATGGTATCTATAATTTTGCTTGTTTTATTTGAAAGCAGTAACTTATCATCTGTAAAAAGAAAAGTACAATTTCCAACGCAGACTAAATGAGACAATTATCGGAAACGTAAATCCAACAAATACTGGCAATTGTGATAACATTACGAAAAATACTATTATCATACTCATTATTATTATTATTATTAATATTATTAATATTATTATTAATATTATTATTATTATTAACATTATTATTATTATTATTATCGTCATCATTCATTTTTATACCATTATCATCATTACAAAGAATTACAAAGGTGTGTACGAGTTATTGCTCCCTTCGAACAACCCCAGAGACGCCCCATTTTAATCCAACAGTTAATCTTCAGGGAGATTAACAACTGATGAATTAACTTGGACGAAAATATTTGTGACTGCGATAGTTCCTGAGATTTACAATTTAGTGATCGGTGGTTGTAGGTATTAAGACTTACTAATAATCGTATAATTCAACTTTTGGTTGCAAATCGGTTATTAATAAACTATCTATCTATCTATCTATTTTAATAACTCTCACCTTGATCATAGATTTTCGCGAATCTCCAAGCTGTTCGACAACCAGCTGTGATCTTTGAATGTTACCCTGAAAATAATAATAAAAAAGAAAAAAAGAAAAAACAGAAAAGACCATTGAATATGGTTATTCAAAATGCAGTTTCTCTGTTAGGCAGCCTGTTTACAAAGTTCAAGGACTTGTTAAGCAGGAAGGATTTTCTGTAACTTACTAGACAAAAAAACCCCGATACTGCATGGTTTTGGTGGGAGTTGTTTGTTTGTGCTTTTATTGCTTTGATCGAGTTACACCGAAACGTCAAAATACGAGTTATGCGTCAACATTTCTATTATAGGAACTCTAATGTCAGCGGAATATTGTCTCACCTGAAGTAGCTCATTTAACATCACTAAATCGTCCTGGAATTTCGTTTTTTGACCCGGTTTCATCTTAGGAATCTTTTCTCTGATCTCTCCCATCTTTTTCAACACTTCCTGTTCTGCAGCGATCTGGAAAAAAACAAAAAGGAGCAGTTTATTTCAGGGCCGAATGAAAAGTTTGACAGGTCACTGAAGACAAATGAAGACAGCCTCGTTCCCAGAGTCTCAGGGAACCAGAGACCCCAGGGACAAGTTAATGAGTGGGATTCACCCCAGCATTCTTCCTCACCAGCTCGTCCATTTGTCCAGCAATATGCTGGACCCGCCAGCCGTTTGCTCTTTGTATAATTCCCTTCTGACTGGCGATTTCTTGTATGGAAGGTTTTCTTTCTTCTGAGAAACAAAATACAGACGATGAATAAGCAGAGCCTTGGTAACGTTACTTAAGAGTATTCTTACAACGAGTGACATAACGACTTGCACATCTTTAATAAAATTCAAGTACGTGAGAATCTACTGCAGCCTTGCTTATTCCCTTGCAAAGCAATTTTTAACTGAGTGTCGGTTTTGCTTCAACACGTTTTGTCATTGGTCCAGAAAACTCGTGCCACTTTCCCAACCGATCAGATACAAAAAAAAAATTCAACCGCGTTTTGGTCGGTCGCGTTTTCCCGCGCTTTGGCAGTTTGCTTGTTTAAAATCTAAATTATGATTCGCTCCTTGTAATTTTTTCTTTTCTTGCTGATTGGCCAAAGTGATAACTTTGGTTTTAACGACGCTCACTCGAAATACGCTCTGGTTTATTCTTACAGCCTTGAAGTTTGTCTATTTTGGAAAACAATGGCCGTTTTCACACTAGAGGACTGAAAAATCGTCTGGAAAGACAAATCGTCTGGCATTTGTTCATCGAATTTGAATTCGAGAAGGCCATATGCTTTGTTTTTCGCTGACTTCGTCGATTTCGCTGACTTCTTCTTGAGTTCCGCTGTGTTGAAACTTCCCATAAAACCTCGCTCTGTTGCTAGTCCTATTTCTTCGCGGCGAGAAAATCGAACATTTCACCGTCTGATATGAATTTAAGTCGTACTGTCGTCAACTTGTTCGTCTCGACGGACAAATCGTCTTCAAAAAATCGTCTTTCCAGACGGCCAAATATCAGACGATTTGTTCGTCGAAAAATTTGTTCGTCCCGTTTTCACATCAGACGATTTGTCTGTCCTCTAGCGTGAAAACGGCCAATGTGTTCGTCCACTTAACTAACTAAATCTGAAAACAAAATTCCGCAAAATACCATCTCGTAACTCAATTAACAAGGGAAAAAGACAGTACAAGACATCTATCTCAGGGATTGTCCAGTTGATCGAAAAACGACCAAGGTACACTGGTTTTGTCTTCTTCGAAGCCGTTCTCCGCGAGGTAACAAGAACGACACTCCTTCCGATTCTCTCAGGGGGGAGGGGGAGGGCGGAAGGGGGGAGGGAAGGGAAAGTTGCATGATATCTCAAAATGACCAAGATGCACTGGCCCAGTCTCCTTTGCAGCCTTTCTCTGAAAGGTAAAGCAACACTCCTCCCGCCTCTCTTGAAAGGGGGAGAAGAGGAGTGGAACCTTGCATGACATCACAAAGAACGGCTGGGGAGAAGACTCACAGAAGCCACGAGGTAGTTACACTGACCTTTGGCCTTGACATCAGAATAACGCTGAAAATGGTTATGAGCGGCTTTAGTGTTGATCTTGTAATTCGCAACAATGGAGATTTTCGGTCTCTTTAGTAGTATGAACTTCAAATCTTCATCTGCTGTTGAGCATAAAAAGAAACAAATATATGCGAATACAGAACTGAAAAAACTGGCACTGGGAGAGAGCGAGGAATAAAATAAACATTCCCTAGCCCACCCCTCTACTTCCTTTCGTGTATCGACTTACTCAGCCCCCCACCCCCCCCGCTTCGTAGTAGAAGTTTAATTGCCTTTGACTCAGCTGTCCTTTACGTTTCCCCACGGAAAATGCACCGACACAGCAGACTGTAATGTGGACATTTTTCTTACCTTCATCTTGTTTTGCTTTCTTTTCTTCATCCGTTGGCGAATCAGGTTCCATGTTAACGTTACTACCAAACTTATCTTCCGTAGCGACACTGCAAATGTGAGGTTTTCAAAGATTAAACGCTCTTGGGTTGCAAAAGAAAAAAACCAACCACAAAAACAAAAAAGTAGGCTTTGTTGACGTAGGATAACATCCGCTCTCTGAACGAGTGAGCCCTGATACGCATACTTACACATTTTGCTTTCGTGGTTTTTTCCTCGGTGAGGCCGCCTCGCTGCTCGTAGCTGTAGCATTTGGGAGTAAGGGCGCGGCAGGGGCGGCAGGAACGTTTCCGTTCATAACAGCAGTGGTAGCCACACTCGGGGTGGGTGCTGCCTCACTTGACAGTTCTCGCTTGACTTTACTCGGGGACATGGGAGCGGTTTGATTGACAGCTGACTGTTCTGTTGTAGCAACACTGGCTGTTGTCACAGCCGCAGTTTCGTTCGATTGACTTCCAGAATCACTGCGGCCACAAATTTCATGTTAAAAGAAGCGAAAGAACACCCAGGCCAAAGCGCGAAAAATGAGGGCCTACTCGAAGACTTTTTTTACTTCTAAGACCTGAATATAAAATCTCCTCACTGATTACAAACATTTCTAAACATGTTAGTGCCGATCATTTGGTATTAACTTGGTCATCAAATGTTTCTTTATTCTAACCAACCTGTCTGTGTGACAACGCATTATTACTGTAAAAAATTACTTTGTTATTACTTCCAAGAGTAAAAAAATAAACGCGCTATTTTCCGGAGCTTTCCAACAGTCTTCATAAACATTGTAGTGTTTGTTCATACATACCTTGCGGGTTTGGGCGAGTTCTGTGTGGAGTGCGGTGCAGACAGTGTACTGTCTGATCTTGGGCTGGCTGCCGCCTCCGTTTGATTCGATACCAGCATCTCAGCGGTAAAGGGCAGCTGGCTTGGAGGTTTACGTATCCTGAAAATTAATTTTTAGAGAGCGATCAGTTTTAATCAGTTATGGAAAGTAACTAAGTACTTGAGCTTTTTAGGTTATTTCCCTTTGCTCTAATAGATCGTCGTGATTTTCTTGCTTTTTGTTATACAGCAATCAGTCGAAATTCCCTCTATACAACATCAGAGAGCTTAAGCAGAGACTTTTGTGAGAAGCGGGCGGCAACCGGTAGAAGAATAAAACTAATTCTGACGCGCCGGCTTTGATGCCAATATATCGACCATACGGTGGCCGCTTTAGCAATTAAAACTAAATTGTGCAGACCAAAAAGGTGTAGTAAACACCAAGAACGAGAAATTTTAACTTCCGGTTGCCGTCCACGTCTTCACAACGTTTGTGAGTAAGCTCTCTATTGACAACCAGAAACTTAAGCTGAAGTCACAACTCACGAACGCTACAAGTCTGAGTCTCGCCGCCTATAACATTGCTTCAAAAAGAAACCTTCAGGCTATTGAAAGGTGTGCCCCTGGTCGTGACACCAAACGATCGAAAGAAACATCAAAGCGATAGCTCTCTATTTCACCTACCCTTCTGAAGTTCTCTTTCGAAGAATGCTCGGCCGCGGAGATGTCGCATTGGGATTAGGAGCTGCCAGCTGTGTGGCCTGAATTCCGGCTGAAGGAGGGACATTGAAGATTGGAACACTGTACGTACCAGCAATTGCACCACTGATGTCCATAATACCAGCACTAGCTGGCGTATCTGTCCCTGTTAAGTTTGCTATACCTGAAGCTTAATAGCAGAATTGCAGTAAATGGCTTGAACCCGAGGGTAACATGTGAAGGTGTAGTCTGATCGTCCGGGTGAGTGTAGTCCTGAGAAGGACTGTTGTCGGTGGAAGTGACTGACGTTTCGACAACCTGTGCGGAAGTCATCATCAGAGTCAAGTCAATGATTGTTGTCAGTAGAATGTTCTTATTCCAGTTGGTGTGAAATGATCGGTTGGTTTTGCCGTGATGTTATTGGCTGTAAGACTCAAGTGACGTAAGTCGGTCGTGACTGGTCTGTTTCTAACACGACGCGCACAACTAGTATGCGACTCGACAGACAGCTTATCCGACGAGAACAAATACCTTCACCGTGTTTTTACGAAGAACAACTACAACAACGACTTCATCCGACGAAACACTCACCGACCCACTACCACTACCGAAACAAACGACACCGCAACCCCTACGACTACAGCAACCGTACCGTACATAAAAGGCATGTCTGAAAACATCTCGCGCATCTTACTACCCTTCAATATCCGCGTCGCCCACAAACCCATCACCACACTACGTCAGTTACTAACCAACGTTAAAGACAAAGACGAACCGAGGAACAGACAGGGAACGTTTTATAAAATCAATTGTTCCGACTGCCAAGCCTCCTACATCGGTGAGACTGGCAGAAACCTCACAACAAGACTGACTGAACACAGACGGGCGACGAGGAAAGGTGATATCAGCAATCACATTGCTGAACACCATCGATTTACCAACCACAACATTGACTGGGACTCTGCGCAATGCCTAACCTACAGCACTGACTATTTTCAACGACTGACTCTGGAAAGCTGGTTTACTAACTTAGAACAAACTCCCCTAAACAGATGTCAACAACTACCCGCTCCATACAAACGACTCATTCACGACATAAAGATCACAAACGACCGAAAAAGAACGACCTAACTTTACCGACAGATCGAAACAGACCAATCACGACCGACTTACGTCACTTGAGTCTTACAGCCAATAACATCACGGCAAAACCAACCGATCATTTCACACTAACTGGAATAAGAACATTCTACTGACAACAATCATTGACTTGACTCTGATGATGACTTCCGCACAGGTTGTCGAAACATCAGTCACTACCACCGACAACAGTCCTTCTCAGGACTACACTCACCCGGACGATCAGACTACACCTTCAAATATCAGAATTGTTGATCAGGAGAAGTGTTCAACCGAGTGTCGAAAAACCAATCAGAACAAAGGTTTAAATTATCATAAACCAATGAGAACTCGGAGTGAAAACAAGCAATCAAAGTGACCAATCAGAACAAAGGCTTAATCATCATTAACCAATGAGAACTCCGAGCGAAAACAAGCAAACTGCTTGAAGCGCGGGGAAACGCGGGCGACCAAGTCGCGTTTGTTTTTAGTTTTGCATCTGATTGGTTGATAGGAAGGAGTCAGTTTTCTGAACCAATCACAGGGCAAAGTAACTTAAAACCAACGCAATCTGGATCACTATCGACACTCAATTGAAAACTGTTGTAACGTGTACATGAGGTGCAATTATTCTTCGGCCATTTTAGAGGTTCTAGGTTTCATAGCAACGATACCAAATTTTCGACGTTCTTGTTAAAAAAGATATCAATATTTTCTAAAACTGGTAGTTTCCTTACACTGAACCGCAAGGTCAAAATACTGCGCAACCAGGCCTGACGACGTGTCGTTGTAAACGAGGGAAGTTTGGTTCGGAACGGGTCGGGTCGGGTCGGGTAACGTAGAGAACGCGAACTGACCCAAGCCTCCCACATTTTTCCCTTTCGCGCTCTTATCGCGTCGTTCGCAATCACACGTTGTTTCCTGACCAGTTTATCGTGGACAATACTCTGAAATCAATTGAGACTTGTCGGAGAAACGGCTTTTGGATGGCAAACTTTACCCTCCAGTTTAACAAGCAAACCTTTTGAAATAGACAGTCTGCATATCAAACTGTCCAAAAATCCCACAATTACATGCCTGTGTCTTCAAAATTAGAAATCCCACTGCCTTCCGAAGTTCTCTCTATTTCCATATTTGTATTTTTTTTTTCTACCGCGACAATTTTAATGAAACGAAAGTGCGTTCACAGATATCCCACCTAAGGTCTCTAAAAGTAAATGCGTTCACAGACTACCCACCTCCGACACCGAGTGCTGCAGAGGGTTGGAAAATCAGCCTTGGATGATCCATAATCTGCATAGGGTTCACTCCCGCAGCTGCGGCAGCTGCCGCGGCGGACGTGACCACACCCTGTGATCTGGCAAGAGACTGCATTGGGCCAAAGGCTGGTTGGTGATATTGTGGATGAAGCCCTGGATGCACTGTGACATCATAAAAATGTAGTTAGAATGCTTTCGCCAACCACCGATTGGAAAAATAAAAGGCAATTCTTGTTAAACATTTTCAAATTTTCAAATTTTGCAATTTCAGCCATGCAAAATTGAAAAAAATATATATATATACATATCCGCTATCTTTTCCTAGTCATCACACAAAAAAAGAAACAAAAGATCAAAGCAATTAGTTCATAAATGTTTCAAGTTCTTCTTTGTATCAAACCCACTATCATACTCCACCATCACTAAACACATGGGAGAATGGAATTTGAACCAGAAGATATTACTGATATACAAGATATAAGCGGCACCTCTTATCTCAAAATTTTGGTTGGGAGAAGTTGAAATTTGATCATATGATTAGTGGAGCAAAGTGTGCACTCACCAGATAGAGCATCCTGATAAAACAGACTTGCCATCCCAGCCATATGGTGATAAGGAAACTGAGGCAAGGCCTGATGGGCCCTGGAGTACAAAAAAAAAAAAGTAAATGGATAGAGAATTGGTAAAGGGTCAAGTTTTGAGCCTATCAACTCTGTCTGGGATAAGGTTAACTCCCTAGAGAGCTTTGTTCGTCAAATATGCTGATAAGTGACGACAGCCTTGATAGAAATGCCTAAAAGAACCTTAAGCCTCCAGTATGACTGTCACCCTATAATTTCATCCAAAAAGAAAAACCTGACCATAGTCTGGTCTAAGATTTACAAGACTCTTGGGGTTGCAAAAACTTTTTCCATAAGTGGCTGTCAATGGTGAAGTAAAACACTGTACCTGGAGAGAGAGCCGTAAGAAAAAACCCAACCATAGGAGCCTGCTGTTAGGCTATTCAGACAGTGGTAAGAAGCCTTACAGGCAGTGGTAGACCACATTCAAACCCCTCAGACTTGTGAAATAGTCTTGCCTAGGATAAGTGTGCCAAAGAATCAGCAACTTATGGTCTTTCCTTACACTTAGCACGGAAAGCCGTAAAAATCTTGAACAAAAGCTCATCTTTCAAACCGGCAGTCTAAATCCCACAGGGATCAACGAACGCTTTTCATTCCACTAATTTATTCTTGTTTTTCTCGTTGCCATGTTCCCACCAATAATGTAGCTCCACTTTCTGCCTTTAAAAGCACACACAACCCACAATTCCTCTATTCGCTCCGACGAAGGGCTAACGCTTGAAAAGTCAGCTTTTGTAATCGTTACGGTGGCCAATTTACCATTTCAACTTTGTTGATATATCCAAAGAATCAGCAAGGCAACTCCAGCTGAAATTTAACCATACCCACTCTACAAAAAGACGGAGTTCCTTACCTGTCCATTCGACTTTCATTTCCAACTACTGAAAACCGGAAAAAAAAAAAAAAACAACACAAAATCATGTCACTATTTGTGAGTTTCTTGAACAGTGAGGAAAGACTTGCACTGACTAGTACAAAGTGAAAATAATTTAATTTAATTTATATTTCATGAAAACCAAATGCAAAAATAGCCAAAACAAGATTAGGAAAAATGGAACCTGAGTTAAGAGAAGCCCCAGCCATCTGAGGAACTGTGGAAATGGTGCTGTTATGGTGAGAAGACACTGTTGCTGGTGATGCTGTCCCACTTGATTTGCTCAACCTTGCGTGATCTGCTGCTGGATTCTAAGAAAAAATTATTTAAAAAATACCAATTACCAGTAGCACACTATGAAGCCAAGGTAGCTTGCACAAAAAGTGTCTAAAGAATTTTTGAGTGTTAAATTGGTGAGAGGACTGTACCAACTGGGTTTCAGGAGAAAGAAACCAGAACTGGGTGGCTAACCGCTGCCCAGTTAGCCCAATGGATAGTGCGCTGGACTGTTGTGCGGGAGGTCGAGGGTTCGAGCCCCAGCCGGACCAACACTCAAGGTCTTAAAATAATTGAGAAGAGTTTGCTACCTTTCTATTACATCTAGAAATGGTTAGATATTCTAGTCTTCTCGGATAGGGACGAATAAATGGAGGTCCCATCTCCTGCAGGGTTGGGGGTAGGAGACGTTAATTTCCCACGCACGAGATTACTGTCTGATGGATGTCCTCCCCCGGGTGGGATGGTGGGTACAAAGGGGTTAGGTGTCAATTGGGACGAAAGTTCTGTTCCTTTCTCCTGCCACTCCCGTGGCAAATGGATTAAACTAAACTAAACTAAACTAAACTGATCTATCCAGGTAGAAAAGTACAAATCACAAAAAGATTGTAAGCTAAAGAGTACTGCCCTGAAGCTTGGAATCGCATGACAACCGTAGTAGCAGAAGAATCATCATGAAGCTGCCAACTGGCAGCGTAACAATAACAATAACAATAACAATAACAATAACAGTAAAAATAACAGGGATTTTGGGGGACACATACATGTACCCAATGAGCCTTTATATATCACGCCCCAAAAATCCAGGTTGAGGAAAGAATAATCAAAGATTTGCCTAGAGGAAGCAGCAAATGATTTGCAAAGATCAGCCTGAAAGACTTGACAAAACATTAATATTGCTGTTCTTTAAACCAACTTCTGCCTGGAGTAAAATATTGTACATACCATGGTAGATTCTGAGCTTGAGATCGGTGGTTGCCTTGGAGCCGTAAATGCCATATGAGGTGGAGTATAAATTCTTGCTGTTGTTGTCAACACAGCAGGCGTCACACTGACTGTGTTTGACGGGACCATTTTAGACGGTTGAGAATGACCGGACATGCCAACAGCAGCTGATGGCATGTGAGAAATGGCGCTGCTGACAGATGTCCCTGCACCTGTAACTGGTCCACTGCCATGTACAGAAATGGGATGGTGTGACGACACTGTGGGAGCAGACTGTTTTGGTACTTGATGACTCTGTGAGAGAGGTGCTGATGGGACAATAGAGATGACTTTGTTACCAACAGAAGCAGGTGGATGCGCTGTTGTCACCGACTGAACTGTGGGTGATGCACCTCTTCTTGCCAAATCAGTCATCAAACCTGGTCTTGCCTCTCGCATTTCACCTGACTTGTGTTCTACTGCAGGCTGATGCAAAGATGAGGAGACTGCGACAGTAGCTAGATGGGAAGATGTCCCAGGGGATGAAGGACGGGAGGTGCCTGTTGTTACTGGAGCATGCGACTGTGACTGTCCGCTGCTAAGAGCTTGACTGTTAAGTCCCATAGGTTTCACTGCAGCTGGCATTGCTGGGGTACGTAAAGAAGTACTCCTGGGCGTCACGCCAGCAAGTGCCCCTGCAGCAGCTCCCACTGGGACATGTGAGAAAGCCGGCTGAGGCATCCTCATCATTGAAGCAATCAAAGGATGGCCAGCACTAAATCCTGGCACAGCACCAGCAACAAGACCCGGTGCAAGGTGACTAGGGATCATTCCAATAGAGCCTGAAGCTGGAGCTATAGGACGATTCTGAAGAGGTTTTCCCATCTATGCGAGAAAAATTTAAAAAAAAAAAAAAGTCTACATGTAAGTGAAAAGAGATACCAATCATTTATCAAATGTGAGAGATAAAGAAAAATTTAAAGTACTCCATGAGAGTTTGACTGTTACTCAGTCCTGATTTTGTAGCTGGAAACTCTGTAAATTACACAGAAATACAGCAATAGAGCTGTGCTACAAAAAAGCTTTCTATAAATCCATTTGTCACACATTTGTGGAGGCAGTGTCCCTACTTGAAGGCCTTCTATAATGAATAGGAGAGGCTGATAAAAATTGACAATGTCATTAACTAAAGATTCAAAAACTCCTTTCAGCAAACCTTGATACTTGCTTGATCAACATGTGCTCTGTGATAACTTCCACTCTCTGGGCCTGTCATTGGAACTTAATTCAATAAAGAATGTCCAGTATTAGATTGACGCAAAAAATGTTTTGAAAGGAAATAATTTAACAGAAATACTAAACTTGGTGGATTGGTGGATAATGCACTGAAAGTAAATATCTTTAGGTGTATGTACTGTACAAAATAAAAATGTGAAAATTCAGTGTCCTATTGGCTGGGTTAGTGGAACTCAGTTTAAAAGACTACAGGTTCAAACCGTTTAGAGAGGTTCTTGAGAGAGATACTTTCCTCTCTCAGTACCTCTGCGCTACCTGGAGAATAAGGGGGTCCATGCAGGTGAACCATTATGGATGTGTGCCACACAATTCTTAAAAATTTTGGCTCTAAGAACTTTAGTACCCTTTAGTGATAGCTTTCTATTTTCTCATTACTCTTATACATGGAAATGTATTGATACTATAACGAGAAATCAATCACTGGTCATGATAGAGGGTGAAAGTGTTAAACCTTTGACTCCCAGGGGTGGGGGTGGGGGTGATAAAATGATAAATAATAGATCTTTGCAGTTTTATAAACTGTTGAAAAGACACTCTTGATGTAACACCACATTCTCAGGGAATGGACAGCAATTAAATCTATTCTCATGAGTTAGCAGAATTCGTTGTCAGGTTTTGGAGGTGGAGGGGTTAAAAATCACCTGGAGGAAGTGATTTATTTGAACAACATTTATAAATTGAAAAAAAACACACACACAGCTACATTTGCAAAATTTCAATGCTGCCGAAATACTTATTAAGTTCTAAATACTTATGCAGCAACCAGTAAACAATTATTCAGATCAAAATATTAAGATACTAAGACAAGGATATGAAATAATACTTCTTTTCACGTTACATGAACACGAATTTGATAGAGTGGACTAATAACTGCTGAGCACTGTTCGTTACAATTTCTATAAAATGGAGGAGCAATGTTCTAATCTGCCTTCAAGTGATAACTGCTGACATACTTTGCCTAAGGAACCACGTGTGTGTGTCGCTTTGATTAGGGAAATATTAAGCGATGCTAACTAGCAAATTTACGGTTAATTATTGGATGACGGATACGTCTTCGGCTATTCAAGAAATTGTTCTCAGATGAAAACCTGAATAGCAAATATAAAAACACAGGCATGCTCGGAATCGACCAGGATGTTCAAATACAGAGAGGGATCCTGAACGACTGGGGAATTCGACCATATCAAATCTTGTTACAAATTTCAAATATGGTTAATGCGATGAGTGTTTATACGGAGTCTGTTCGATTTCAAGACAACTACGTATTCGCTGAAACGATTAAATTGGATGGCAATCTTCATGCTAGGAAATATTAGAAAAAATACTACACAGACAAGACGGAAAACTGAATACCTCCTGGACTGGCGTTCAAAACTTTAGATTTGTCGTGTTTTTCTCCGTCTTGGGAAGGATTCCGAGACTGGCCGCCAACGACATCACGTTCATGTCGATCTTCGTTTGGATAACTCATGGTTTTTGAGCAAAAATCTGTCACATCCAGGAAATTTCAAAGATAACGGTGGTCAGTTTCCGATAAAATCGGAATTAAACATTTCGGAAACATTGAACAGTTTTGAAATTCGGGGGCAAAACGAGAAACCCAGTGATTTTTTCGCGAACGCTTATCTGCGCATGCTATATAGCATCAGTTAGCGTAAGTGTTTCGTCTGAAAACATCGTGGGCTCTGACTTATAACTACTGCGGTAAGAGCTATGATTATTCATTAAAAATTATATACAATCAAACTCTAAGAAGCTTTAGAATATTTCTTTTAAAATATTTTGATGATTTTGGAACGAAAGCTTTGAAAGACAATCGCAAAACACGCATTCCCGAACAAAAGGTGCACATACCGGAGGTAAAGTTGTGTAACACAATCATTTGCGAATTTAATTTTTTTGGGCAAATGCATAGGTGAGAATGCATGTGTAAATCAAGTGATCATGATAAGTCCCAAGGTTTTAAAAGTCCTGAAAAAAAGACAAGTTTTCTGAACTCGTAAGCGGCGTAACAAAGACTTCGGGAACTGCACGTAGCATATTCACTTAAAATTTATGAAATCTTACTATCTAGGAATTTCATCTATCCGGGGAAGAATCAGCATAGAAATATCTGAACTTTTGTACACCGGATAATCTTTGATTAAGACTAGATCGGTCTAGTCTACTTTTTAGGCAAGCTTATCCAGTGTGCAAAAGTTTTTAATAATTCTCAAATACCACTCATGATGGCCACGAAAAACAAGTCCCTATTCAAAATACAAACACACGATCACACGAAAATTTCACGTTCTGTAAGAGAGTTGGATGGTTTTCATGGGAAGGCAAAGATGACAGCCACCAGATCAAATTCGTTCTCAGTCCTTCCCTCGTGATCACAATGTGCAAGTTTCATCTCTCTTACGTCAGAGTTTTACATTGCGCAAGTCACAAAGGAAGCCGTCTTCAAGATGGCGTTGAATGTGTATCTCGTTGCGGCAGTTTTGTCGGTTTTCTCTCTCATGACTGTTAAAGAAATCATCTTTCCCACAAATGTCCAAGCTTCAAATCCAGATAAAATGGACAGAATACAAAAAGCGGCTGCATTTACAGGACCAACGATCAAATTTCTATATTGGTAAGTGGTTTACTTATAATCGAGTTCCTCGAATTCCGTGAATAGGTTTACGTAACTTAGATTGACTCGACGGTTTATAGAAATATCACAAACTTCATCTTTGCGTGTAAATCATGACCAGTTTTTTTTAAATGTCTACTTATGTTTCTTTTTTGCTAAGATCTACGTTGTGTCTATCAACAAAAGCTCAGCTAAAATAGCATGTACCACGCTAGAATAAGGAGTTTTATTTAGTTTTGGTGAAATGATAGCAAGGTCTCATAGTAATTTCCCGAGGATCGAATGTTTTGACAGGACAGTTTGTTTATATTTTAGCCGAGGAAGCTATTTTTGAATTTATTTCTAAGTTGGAAGGATCTTTCTTTGCCACAAACGTTAATACTTGTTTGATGAACTTATCAGGACATACAATATGACTTGAAAAGATTTGACAAAGCAGGACAGGCATTTGCGTGTATCGAGAAAGCGATTGACCTTATCATATTTAAAGAAAACTTTGTTTGATTGAATACGAAAAGATTGATATTTAAAAATAATTTTTTGCCCAGGTACTAATTATATCACAGTATACCTTCGTTATGTTGGCAAAAATTTCTGTGAATTTGATTTTTGATGGTAGATCTATCTTACGAACAAGGTGTTCTCCTTTTCAGGAAGGAATAGGTAAATGGTCGTCATATTACTGCCTAAAATCAATCGAAATTCTTGAAATTTCAATAGGTTTAAGGATTGCTTCGCTGGTTTGGAAATTGCTTTTACCAGTTGCTTTTAAAATAAGGGAGGAAATTGAAATGGTTGATGAGAAAACTCTAATCTCTGGCTGCTGTACTCAACCATGTGTTCATTGTAAATGGGAAAGTGCTCTATTCAAGCCTTGATTAACTATGTTCAAGCTAAGCATGATTTGTTTGAAAAAAAGCAGAATAAATTTGATTCTTGTTACCTGGACAAAACTTTGTCACATTGTCTCCTTAGTTTTATTTTATCTTATTCTCTCTAGTTATTCCTGAGGGTACAGGAAGGCGTTTGAAGAGTATGCGCAATTCATTCACCAAAACTTTCCAATGGTCCGCATAGAAGGCGACAATTATCCCCCACCCCGTCCCCGTCAGATGTTAGCCAGTGTTCTCAGTATTGCTAAATTAGCAGTCATGGCAATTGTTCTTCTTGGTGAGCGGTTACAGATATGGGAAAGTCTGAATATTGACCCACCTCAAGCTTATATTTGGGCCACACAGAATAAGGTATTTAGATGCATTCTTTTTAATCTATCAGAAACCATATTTGGAGGATTACATACACATCTCTCTCCGCAACAAGATTCTTTGAATAGTCTGGGTGTTCTTCACTGAGCAGAACACTGTGCAGAAAGTTCTCAATCATGTGTTTTTTTTTTAACCTTTTTGGAACTTTGCAGAGCATGCTTGGCTCAGTATTCTCAGGAAGCACTAGCACCCAACATTTTGACTGATTTCATCAATTTTGTTTCTCATTCATGGGCTAATTGAACAAGACGTTTAAAGTAAGACCATCTGTGGGCTAGTGCTTTTTTTATGGCTGGCTATTAAAATTTCTCTAGAAAACACTGTCTGCTGTATGATTGATCCAATCTTTTTCCATCCCTCCAGCCATCATGATTTCCAGGCTTGTGACACCTTTCGCAGACAGAAATTGTCACATTTGACCAAACAGATACAGCTGCATACATTCTGGTTATAGTTTTTCTTTCTATGCTACCATCATGCCCCCTGTATGAACAGTGTGCGTGGATGATCAATCAGGCTAATATGTAGCTTAACTTATGATCCTTGACTTAAAAGATAAACATGCACACCTGAACTAAGTAACTATTTAACAGAACATTTTCAATAATGACTGTTGAAAGCTGAAAGTCACGAGGGTTTAATTTTATTTTTTCACACAGATGTATGCCTGCATCCTAATATTTTTTGTCACAAATATGATTGAAGGGCAGTTAATATCCACTGGTGCTTTTGAAGTTTCACTAAATGGTATGTACAAGTTTCCAAAACTTTGCTTCTGAAAAATGCAGTTGCATTGTCATTTAGGTCAAGATGTGAAGTTCGTTTCCATTCTGTTCTCAGATATGCCGATTTGGTCCAAACTCGAGTCTGGTCGCCTTCCTAACCCCAATGAGCTTCATCAGATCATAGAGAATCAGCTCAAGTTTAGTCCTTCACATTAAGTAAGTCTTTTTGTAATTAACCCCAATGAGCTTCATCAGATCATAGAGAATCAGCTCAAGTTTAGTCCTTCACATTAAGTCTTTTTGTAATTACTAGAACTACAAAGTTTTTTTTCCCTTTTCATAACATGCTTCCATGCATGCATTACCTTTCTTACAATAACTTCAGTATTTTAACCACAGCTAACAAAATACTAACAAACTTTTCTATTCCCTTTACTCTAGGGGAGTGCTTTGAATTACACAATTTTTTTTTTTTTTTAATTTTACTACATGTAGTTACTACCTTCTCTTCAACTTTGTATTTAAGAGAGATTTTGCAGCGGAACTGTGATGTTTAAAGGTCATTAGTGTTTAATTTTCTGGCATTCTGTGGCTGCCATGCTAGGAAAGGAAAGAGTATAGGGGAAAGGTTCTCTCAAATTTCACACGCCTTGTAACTTTTCTTACTTTTCTCCACAGACCTTTGGCTTTCAAGATGAGGACTCCCTAGTTATGACGTTTGGAGCAAAAAGTGGTCATGCCACTGGCACCAAACTGACACCCTTTGGGAAAAATCATTTTTTTGGAGGTCAATGTTTGATGACAAGGAATAATGATATACACTGTATAGTATTTAATTGACACAACACTGAGAAGAAATTGTAATTTCTTTTAGAATTGATCATTTTTTGTACCATCGGAAAACAGTTGTGTAAATTAAGTAGCTAGTCAAAAGTAGCTCACACCATTCTTTTTTAAACAAAATTATTTACTTTTCTGTGCATACATATAACATGTTGAAATATTTAATTAAAGTCCTGGTAAATAAGTTTGTTTGTGGTAAGAAGTGCCATTCCATGATGCATTTAGGGTAGGGAGGATATAAATAACTCAAGTAAAAAAGCTTAGAAGTAGTGATAACAATAAAATTCAAACTTGTACTTCTGTCTGATTTTCAATGTTTCAAACCCATTAGTACGTGTAAATTTTCCAAAAAAAAGTTATATGATGAGGTTAACCAAGGTTAAACTACATAGGTCAGTACATCAAAAATCTAAAACTGGCTTTTATTCAACTGTGGAGAGTGTGGAAAAGGTGCAAGAAATGAGTACGCAAGTAAATGATGGACCAGTGAAAGCCTGTTTGCAAGGTTATATACCAGATGGTTTGATTTCCCTTGAGTCTGGTCTTTGATACCCCAAAGAAGGAACTTTGGGGGTGTGCGTAGACTGCTAGTAATCAAGCTCAATATACCAGTACATTGAATGCAGTGTAATATTTCTTGTTTTCCCTTCAAGGCTAACTCTTTAATAACTGTATGTGGCTTGAGTGTACCACTCTAGTGTCCTTTTGATTGGCCTTGACTTTAAGTTTACTACTTAACCATATGAAAAAGAGGTTCAAGCCACGAAAATAAAATGGTGGCACCAATCAAACAAAATAACAAGGTGGGCTTGAGCACGTCACTGAAAGACTTTCAATAACTTTGCTTCCTCTTGAATGTGTTTCACACCCTGCAAGATCCATTCAAGAACATTATACACCACTTTAATAAATGGCTACCGGATTGATATTCTTTTGTTTAAATTCAAATTAGCCTCACTAGCCACGCATGAGATAATGCATTCTTTTGAATTTTGAACTGGAGAACGAGGCCAGAAAGGCTAATTTAAATTTAAACAAAAGAATATCAATCCGGCAGCCATTTATGGAAGTGGTCAATCAGTGTTACAAAGTGAACTGAAACAATTTAATACCTGAGTATAATCAGGGTGTAATCACTGATGTGGATCATGAAGTAATCTTTTTACACCCTAACATCAGTTTGCATATTCTCCATACTGTTCTCCATACATTTTCTTCTGAGGTGTTAACGGGGAGATTTGTTTTAAAAATCAGGGTTTTTTTTTTTCAATTTTTTTTCACAATTTTTTAAATATAGACTAGTGAGCAGCACTTCTGTGAACAGTTGTAAAACTTTTTATTTTCCATCTTTTTATTTTTAGTCTGTCATTGTAGAGACCGAATGTCTCTACTCCGTTATCGAGGACAACAAAACTCTTTACATGTGTTGAATTGTATCGTTTCATTCAAACCAACAAATAATTAACTAACAAACAATTTATCCAACGAACAAAAGAACAATTCAAAGTTCTCCGTACCCAGATAACGGAGAAAGTAATAAACTAAGGGTAAACACAATACAAACGTGCCATGTGCTTTTCTCCTCAAACTCAACAACAGAAAAAACGAAAAACAGTCAATGAGGTCAGTGGCTCACTGTATTTAAGCCATCTCAAAGTCTCCACTTGAAACTAACTGTCTTTGACTTCTTCAGGGAGTTTTACAATTATAACTAAATGCCTGTATTTATAAGCCAAAGTTATGGGGGCCGATGACCATAGAGGCTTGGCCGGACTTACGAACAGGAACAGGTGAAGTTGTAAAAAATTTAAAACGTGTAAGGCAAGGTGAGAAAAATATTTTGGGGGCCACAGTTTTAAATTATTTTTCTCACCTTGCCTTACACGTTTTAAATTAAAAATTTTTCACAACTTTGCCTGTTCCTGTTTGTAAGTCTGACCAAGCCTCCATGGTCATTGGCTCCCGTAACTTTGGCTTATAAATACAGGGGTTTAGTTATACTCGTTAAACTCCCTGAAGAAGTCTACGACAGTGAGACGAAACACGTCAGAAAATAAAAAAGAATAAAGGCTGATAGTTTCTAAAGAAACTGTTTGGGGCGGTGTCGGTGGGGGTAACAAAATAGTTTGAATATATCAACAAAGTTGAAATGGTAAATTGGCCACTGTTACGATTATAAAAGCTGACGTTTTGAGTGTTAGCCCTTCGTCGGAGCAAAAATAAAAAAGTTTTACAACTCTTGTTTGCAGAAGTGCTGCTCATATATAAGTCTATATTTAAAAAATTAACAAATTAATTAAAAAATAAAAAAAAAACCCCTGAAGATGTCTACAACATTTAGACGAAACACATCAGAAAATAAAAAAGTTTTACAACTGCTGTTTGCAGAAGTGCTGCTCACTAGTCTATATTAAAAAAATTATTAAAAAAATAATTTAAAAAATACTGTCCTCCATACATTTTCTGAGGTGCTAACAGGGAGATTTGTTTTAAAAGTCAAGAGCTTCTTTAGTTGGTGATAATTTCCTTAATTCTTGTGACCTTAACCCTTTCACTTCCGAGATCTCATAAGTAATTCTCTCTACTCTCTGTTATACAATTCTTACAATGTTACTTTGGAGAATTTGGTATCTGATCAATTAGTAATTCCCTACTTGATATTTTTCTTTATTCTCATCACTTGTCTTCTTAAAATTGTATTGATAATGTAAGGAGAAATTCTGTCTTGATCACTCATGGGAGAGTTAATGTGTGACTTGGGGGCAATGTAGTAAGAAGAAATTGGATGCTGGTCACTCGTAGGGATCAAATGGTTAACGGCAGTATACAAGTCACTTNAAAGTAATAAACTAAGGGGAAACACAATACAAACGTGCCATGTGCTTTTCTCCTCAAACTCAACAACAGAAAAAAAGAAAAACAGTCAATGAGGTCAGTGGCTCAGTGTATTTAAGTCATCTCAAAGTCTCCACTTGAAACTAACTGTCGTGGACTTCTTCAGGGAGTTTTACAATTATAACTAAATGCCTGTATTTATAAGCCAAAGTTATGGGGGCCGATGACCATAGAGGCTTGGCCGGACTTACAAACAGGAACAGGTGAAGTTGTAAAAAATTTAAAACGTGTAAGGCAAGGTGAGAAAAATATTTTGGGGGCCACAGTTTTAAAATATTTTTCTCACCTTGCTTTACACATTTTAAATTTTAAATTTTTCACAACTTTGCCTGTTCCTGTTTGTAAGTCTGACCAAGCCTCCATGGTCATTGGCTCCCATAACTTTGGCTTATAAATACAGGCGTTTAGTTATACTCATAAAACTCCCTAAAGAAGTCTACGACAGTGAGACGAAACGCGTCAGAAAATAAAAAAGAATAAAGGCTGATAGTTACTAAAGAAACTGTTTGGGGCGGTGTCGGAGAGGGTAACGAAATAGGTCGAATATATCAACAAAGTTGAAATGGTAAATTGGCCACCATTACGATTATAAAAGCTGACATTTCAAGTGTTAGCCCTTCATCGGAGCGAAAATAAAAAAGTATTACAACTCTTGTTTGCAGAAGTGCTGCTCACTAGTCTATATTTAAAAAATTAATTAAAAAATTGAGAAAACTCCCTAAAGATGTCTACAACATTTAGACGAAACACATCAGAAAATAAAAAAGTTTTACAACTGCTGTTTGCAGAAGTGCTGCTCACTAGTCTATATTTAAAAAATTATTAAAAAAATAATTTAAAAAATACTGTCCTCCATACATTTTCTGAGGTGCTAACAGGGAGATTTGTTTTAAAAATCTAGAGCTTCTTTAGTTGGTGATAATTTCCTTAATTCCTGTGACCTTAACCCTTTCACTTCTGAGATCTCATAACTCTCCCTACTCTCTGTTATACAATTCTTACAATGTTACTTTGGAGAATTTGGTATCTGATAAATTAGTAATTCCCTACTTGATATTTTTCTTTATTCTCATCACTTGTCTTCTTAAAATTGTATTGATAATGTAAAGAGAAATTCTGTCTTGATCACTCATGGGAGAGTTAATGTGTGACTTGGGGGCAATGTAGTAAGAAGAAATT